ACCTTGAGCAACATCCGTCTCTCTTGACTGATCTCCTCCAAGTTCTTACCCCGCGCATTGATGTCAACCGGGTTGTTCGCATGTTCCAAAAATCGGATAACTTACCGTTAATCAAACCCTTCTTACTCAACGTACAGAGTCAGAACAAGCGAACGGTGAACGATGCTATTAACGACCTCTTAATCGAGGAGGAAGACTACAAGACTCTACGAGACTCGGTAGAGAACTATGACAACTACGATGCGGTTGATCTTGCCTCTCGTTTGGAGAAGCACGATCTTGTCTTCTTCAGACAGATTGCTGCTAATATCTACCGCAAGACCAAGAGATGGGAGAAGTCGATCGCTTTATCGAAGCAGGACAAGCTATATAAGGACGCTATTGAGACCGCTGCTATTTCCGGCAAGTCTGAGGTTGTCGAGGAGCTCCTCCGTTACGTAAGTTTCTTTTCTCTAACCTTCAGACTAATTTATCTGTACTAACTATCTTCCTAGTTCGTCGACATTGGCAGCCGCGAGTGCTATGTTGGTATGCTCTATGCATGCTACGACCTTATCCGTCCCGACACCGTACTGGAGCTGTCGTGGCGTAACGGTCTAAACGACTTCACCATGCCGTACATGATCAATCTTCTTTGCCAGCAGACCAAGGAAATTGCAACGCTCAGGGCCGACAATGAAGCACGTAAGGCTAAGGAATCAGCTCAGGAGAAGCATGAAGATGAGACGCCCATCCTTGGTGGCAACCGCCTTATGATTACCGCTGGACCTGCTTCCACCGGCGGAAGAGTCTCCCCAGCTCCTTTCGCGCAACCCAACGGCTTTGCACCTCAAGCTACAGGCTTCGGCTTCTAAATGGTGCTAGGATAAAATTCTACGCCATCACCACTACCTGGGGTGTTTATGATACCCCTAAAAAAATTCTGAACGTCTTATTAACGAGCATTCTACTTAATGTCGCCAGTGACTCGATTGAGGACGGCGGGTGCGGTGGATATTTGGAGTTCGTCATAGAAAAAGTTGTGGATTTTGCGATAATGTAACTTTGTCGGAAAAGGATCTTGGCAGACACTAGGACTATGTGAGAGCTGTCAAAAGGGCAGGATTGCTTGTACTAAGTGCTGCACGACGTCTGCTACTCGGATCCCCTCCGCTATGCCGGATGTCTGGCCACGAGATTACACTTAGCTGTATTTGTAAGATAGCACAATGAGACTTCTTTGCTAAGATAAAATCCGTAGGGAACTGTTAGTGATAGGAAGTATTCGTGAGTGATAATTCCGCAACCTGTGACCACAACCATAGGCGGATATTTTATGCAATAGACGTTTTGTTCTCCAAGTCTCACTATAGTTCCCGGCAAACTGAACGGCTTATCAAGTTTCCTACTATATTAACCATGTTAGTGAACCCTGTTTGGCCTCTTGCTGTAACCTTGCAGGGTGACGGTTGATAGTTATGTGCCATTCCGATAGGCCCGCATATTTCTCATCCGCTCTCCTCGCCTTATCTGTCGCATCGTTCTAGGCCGAGGGCGCCTGACCACGATAGGAGGGGAAGGGGCCGATCTGAAGTTATACCGCAGGAATATACATATATAGGTAGGTAGACAAGCATGTTACGAGTAGTAGTTATACGAGGAGGGCCTTTGACGAGTATACTTCCCTTTGGCTTCTAAAGCCTCATCCTACTCATTATGGTGCTACTACTTCGAGCTTGTGCTGCCCTCGCGGCATTGGCTGGTTGTGCTCAAGCGGCTGCGATTTCTAGGTCGTCGTATGAAGATGGGACCTCACGTAAGCTAACTAACTAACTAACTAACCTAGTTACTTAAAGAATTCCATATGTGTTTGGGAGTTATTGGACTAACTGGCTTTAATTAGTTGTGCAGCCGGTGTATAAACCGCTGGATCTAGGCTCGGTCAAGCCGCTGGGATGGTTTAAAGACCAGCTCGAGCTTGAGGCGGCGGGGTTGTCGGGGAACATGTTTGATTTCTATCGCTTTGTGAATGATTCGAAGTATATAGGGGGGTCTACGGAGTATTCTGGTTTAGAGTAAGGTTGCATCTTATATTGTTTGACTCTTGTGAGATTCAGCTGTAGATGCGGTTGAGGTTGTCGGTTCTTGTACTCGAGATTTATATAAACAGCGGGGGAATTGGAAATTACTCAAGAGAGAGAGATATATAGGTACTGATTCTCATCTGTCGATAGTGAAGCTTCGCCTTACTGGTTCAACGGCCTTGTCCCGTTGGCTTTTGGATTAGGCGACGAGAGGATTATTGGCCAGGTAAAATACTATCTGGATTATCTCCTTGACCACCAGCAAGAGGACGGTTGGATTGGATGGGAGACTACGCAAGCTACGAGGGGACTCTGGGCGCGGTGCTTGCTTCTGCTGGGACTTATACAATATGCGGAAGCCGATCCGACTCAGACGGAGCGTATTGTCGATGCTATGCATCGCTATGTTGTCCTTGCACATAGCAGTAGGTCTATTTTCAGAGGAGAATACCATCCTCCTATATAACTACTCTTATTAAGAATATGCTTCTAACTCTATACAACATAGTGCTCCAGAATAACTACACTGGCCTCCTCGTGCATGGTAATGACACTTACGATACCGCCGGGTTTGGAGTAGGTCGAACGCATGAGATGCACATCCCGCTGCAATGGCTTCTAGAGCGATACCCGCGGAACAACTCGGAGATTATCTGGGAGACTATGGAACTCATGGTAGAGGGGGGAGTATTAGTGAGTGATCTCCTCCTATTGTCACCTATCCATCTAGATTTTCGAATACGAGTACAGCACGTAAAAAGGGGGGTTATTATTAGGGAAATGAGGGAAGAAAGAATTCGCTGATATCAAATAATATAGTGGGGAGCAGACTGGAGAACATTTTGGACAGACGAAGCATACCCGCATGTTCTATACGAAACAACCCCCTTCGACCTGAGCTGGGTCTTCATCCACGGGGTAAACATGGCACAAGGTACGATGAAAATCAAGAGCTAACCAGCACAACCCCATCCCATCCCATGTAATCTTCACCCAGTCTAACTCATCTAAAGGACTACGATACCCCCTATCCCTATACCTTAACAGCGGAGACAAAGCCCTCAAGGAGCAGACCCGGAAAGCCGTCGACTTGCTAGCAGAGTACCACCGCTCGCTCGCGGGCACCATCATCGCCGACGAGTACATCTCCGATCTGAATCCCAGCCGGGGAGCCGAGCTGTGCATCGCGGCCGAGGTTATGTTCTCCTCGGCGTATATCTACCAGTACCTAGGCGACAACGACATCGCCGACTGGGCTGAGCAGACTGCTTTTAACGCGTTTCCCGTGTCCGTCTCGCCGGACTGGTGGTCTCATCAATATGTACAGCAGGAGAACCAGGTGCGTATACACGTTGTTTTTTCCTATTTCCCTCGAATGTTTGACTATTCTATGTACCTATCTATTGGAAAGGAGGCAACGCGTCTAATTAATCCTCGCTCAAAGCCGTGGTCTCGAAACTTAACCACCGACGATCTCTGGTGGGACGTAAACTCGTACGCCAACGTCTTCGGCCTCGAGCCAAACTATGTAAGTCCCCCTTTTCCCTTTATCACTCTCCTCCCTCCTCCCTCTTTTCTATCCCTCGCTATAACCATTCTCTCGTCCGTAACTAAAACTCCATAGCCATGGTAAGTAAACCAACCAACCAACCAATCCCCCTCCACCCCTAAGCCAAACCCCAACCCCAACCCCAACCCCCCATCTAACCCAACTCCAGCTGCACGGTCAACCACCCACAAGCCTACCCCAAATTCCTCGCCAACTCCTTCGCCACGACCCCCGACGGCGGTCTAGCCCACGTATTCCTCGTCCCCGGCACCGCCGCCGCAACCCTCGGCTCCGACAACCCCGTCTTCGTCTCGGTCAACACCACGTACCCCTTCGGCCACACCCTCACATACACCCTGTCCGCCTCGCAGCCCTTCGACTTCTACATCCGCATCCCGACCTGGGTCCACCCCAGCCGCAGCACCATCAGCACCAGCTCGACCAACACCAGCACCGGCGTGACCAGCACGACCAGCACAACCCTCTCCCCCTCCCCTGACGACAGCCGCAACCTCCAACACATCTCCGTGCCCGCCGGCAGCAGCACCACAACACTGCGTCTATCCACGACCCCCCGCGTCGTGCGCCGCGCCAACGACACCGCCGCCATATACTACGGCGCCCTACTCTACGCCCTAGCCATCGAGCACGACGCCGTCGCCGTGCCCCCCGTAGAATACCGCAGCGGGAACGTGCTGCCGCCCTCGACGACGGATCCGCACGGCCACACCCACGACTACGTGCTTACGCCTAAGCGCGACGCCAAGTGGAATCTTGCCATCGACCCGACGCAGATCCACGTCGTGCGGAGAAGCCGGGGGTCGAGCCCGAGTGCGTTTGAGGAGCACAAAGACGACGTCCTGGAGGTTAGCAGCGACGAGCTTAAGGATCCAATTTGGGACTTGGGCGCCCCGCCTATCGAGCTGCGCGTTGCTGCTGTTGAGATTGATTGGCCCGTCATCATGGACACGGCTGCGGATCCGGGTACATTCGATGTGACACCCGTGGGAAAGCCGTTTTACGCCCGCTTCGTGCCTTACGGCTCCAGTAAGTTGCACATGGCGTTATTACCCGTCGTCCAGCTGGACGATGTAGACTTTGACGCGTCCGACTAAGACAACCAACATATTCAAACTTCACAGCAAAGAGGCACACCCAGAGAAATAAGATAATTGATAAATTGAACGCATATTTGCAGTGATAAAAGCAGGTGTTTTACCCTTTTGCGTGAAGTAAACTTAGGTGAAAGGACATATGAGAAGTCCACGTCGACCCCGAGTACTCTGTCTCCGTCCCTGGAACACACCAGCCGAAAGCCTCGCAAGCACCCGATACCGTTACTCCGCTATACATTTCCCGTAGTTTACCTTTTCATATATAGATTGTGTTTAAGGCTTCACAATCTTGCACACCAAGTCTGATCCGTCGACCGAATCGCCCTCTCTTACTTGAAGGTCTGATACCTTGCCGTTGTGAGGAGCTGATATAACCATTTCCTATTACGAGTATTAGTAACAAATCTTTGCAAATATAATATTTGAATAGTAGTAGCCTTACCATCTTCATGGCGCTGAGCACAGCCAATGGATCGCCCTTCTTGACCTCGGTGCCCTCATGGACTCTCAATTCAACCAGGACACCAGCCATCGGGGCACCGACCTGGCTGGAATCGCCAGGATTGGCCTTCGGTCGGCTAATATTCTCAACGCTAGCCTTCTTGTCGTCAACTGTGACTTGACGAACTTCACCGTTCATCTCGTAGAACACTTCTCGTTGACCTGTGTTCTCGGACAATGGACCAACAGCTAGTAGCTTTAGGATCAGGACTTTACCCTTCTCTAGCTCGACATGGAACTCTTCGCCAATTTGCGGCGCAGAGAGGAAGTACTTGGTCGGCAGGACCGAGAGGTCACCAAACTTCTGCACAAACTTCTTGTAGTCGTCGTACACCTTGGGGTACATGAGGTAAGAGGCCACATCAGTCTCGGTGATCTGACCCCATTTCTGCGTAAGCTCGGAGCGTGTCTTCTTGAAGTCGACGGGGTCGAGGTAAAGACCAGGTCGCTTGTCAAACTTTCGGCGATTTCTAAGAGCCTTTGAGCGCAGGGGCTCAGGGAATCCGCCGTAAGGCTGTCCCATCATGCCCTCGAGGAATTCGAGGACTGAGCCGGGGAAATCGAGCTCGCCGGCTCGGTCAACAACGTCCTTAGATGAGAGTTTGTTCGAGACCATGAATTGAGCTAGATCACCGACAACCTTGGAGGTTGGTGTAACCTTGACGATATCTCCGAGGAGGTCGTTGGCGTGTTCGTATGCCTTCTTGGTCTCAGTCCATTGAGAGCCGAGACCAAGCTGGGCGGCCTGGAACATCATGTTGGTCAGTTGACCACCGGGAATCTCATGCTCATAAACTTCAGGGTCGGGTCCGATGAGGTGAGCCTCGAAAGGCGAATACAGAAGGCGTAGTTGCGACCAGTAGGTGTCGAGAGCACGAACGTGTGCAGGGTTTAGACCAGGGTCGAATTCAGAACCCTCGAGCGACGCAATAATGGCATTGATGCTCGGTTGGGACGTCATTCCCGAGAGACTGTCTGTAGCGGCATCGACAGCGTCGGCACCAGCTTGGGCACAAGCGACCATAGAAGCCACACCAGTACCGGCAGAATCGTGAGTGTGGACGTGGATTGGTAGGTCGGGGTACTTCTTGCGAATAGACCCGATGAGAAGGGTCGCAGCACGAGGCTTCAACACACCAGCCATATCCTTGATTCCAAGGACGTCGATATCCAGTGCCACTAGCTTGTCGACCAAGTCGAGATAATACTCAAGGTTGTACTTCTTCTTGGGGTTCAACATATCTCCGCTGTAGCAAACGGTACCTTCAGCTACGCCACCAGCTTTCTGTACGGCTTTGATTCCAACTTCGAGCTGATTAATATCATTCAAGGCATCAAATACACGGAAGATATCGACACCGTTCTTCTTCGCTTGTTCGACGAAATGTTCGATAGCATTATCGGGAAGCGAAGCATAAGCCACGCCGTTTGCTCCTCGAAGAAGCATCTGGAAGGGGATATTTGGAATGGCCTTTCGCATCTTGCGAAGGCGGTCCCACGGGTCCTCGTAGAGGAAGCGCATAGCGACATCGAAAGTAGCGCCTCCCCAGCATTCCAAACTGTATAGGTTGTCGAGAGCATGGCTAGTCTCCTTTGCGATTCCTAGAAGGTCGATCGTTCGTACACGAGTGGCCAGTAAAGACTGGTGGGCATCGCGCCAAGTCGTGTCCATCAACAGACAACCCTTGTACTGTCGAACGGCCTTGGCGAACGCCTTAGGACCTTGTTCGAGGATAATTTTCCTCCAGCCCTTAGTGGAGGGCTGTGTGGTATCAAGCTTAGAGCCGTCGGCATTGAGAAGTTCTGGAAGGATGATATCACCCTTGAACTTAGGCTCACCGATCTGGCCCTTGATACTGCTTCCATTGACTGCGATATCGCCAAGGTAAGCTAGCAGCTTCTGGGCACGGTTCTGGCTGCCGATGAGGTCGAACAGCTGAGGAGTGTCATCGATAAATGTTGTCCAGCAGTTACCATCGATGAAGGTGGGATGTGTCAGTAATGAGGCAAGGAACGGAATGTTCGTCTTCACACCACGGATACGGAACTCGATGAGAGCTCGAAGAATCTTTCGGCGCGCAATCTCGTAGGTTGAACCGTGGCATGTGCACTTGACCAACATGGAGTCATAGTACGGGGTAATAACCGCACCAGCGAAGCCATTGCCACCGTCGAGACGCACTCCATTGCCACCAGCAGATCTGTACACCTCAATCTTTCCAGTATCTGGCTGGAATTGTTTTGATGGGTCTTCGGTAGTGATTCGACACTGAATCGCGAAACCTCGTGTCGAAATTCGGTCTTGAGTTAAGCCGAGCTGCTGGAGTGAAGCACCCGCGGCAATTTGGATTTGAGCAGCGACAATGTCAATACCGGTGATTTCCTCGGTAATAGTATGTTCGACCTGAATACGCGGGTTGATTTCAATGAAGTAGTAGCGGTTCTGTTGGTCGACTAAGAACTCTGCGGTACCCGCATTTCGGTAATTCACGGACTTGGCCAGTTTAACTGCGTCGGCCAGAATGGCATCTCGGGTCTCCGCGGGAAGATCTTTGGCGGGTGCGATTTCAACCACCTTCTGATGTCTCCGCTGGACCGAGCAGTCTCGCTCGTATAGGTGCACAATGTTTCCGTGGTTGTCTCCTAGTAGTTGGACTTCAATGTGCTTGGGCTTGTCTAAGAAGCGCTCAACGAACACCGTGCCATTTCCGAATGCCGTCTTTGCCTCGGAAGTAGCTCTCTCAAAGGATTCTTTGAGGGTTGATTGCTCACGCACAACTCTCATACCTCGGCCACCACCACCATAGGCAGCCTTGATAATGATAGGGAATCCATATTCGTCAGTGAACTTCTTTACATCCTCAAATGCAGCTACCGCGCCCTCGGTTCCCGGCACGACGGGAACGTTCGCGGCAATAGCTAGTGTTCGGGCAGATACTTTATCACCAAGTGAGTCAATAACATCAGGAGAGGGACCGACAAACTATACAATGTGCCATCTTAGTCAGAGTTCCAACGTGGTTAGGATCAACCTAGACGATTACTTACGATAAGACCGGCTTTCTCGACGTTTCGGGCAAATTCGGCATTTTCAGACAGGAAACCATATCCTATGATCGGTTAGAAATAAGAATTAAACTCAAATGCAAAGGAATAAGGAATAAATAATAAATAATATTTACCAGGATGAATCATCTGAGCGCCGTGTTCTAAGGCAATCTTAATAATTTCGTCGCCAGCGAGGTAAGCGCCGACCGGGGTATATTGTCCTCGCTTTCCGATGACGTAGGCTTCGTCGGCCTCTATAAGTCAGATAAGTTAGCACTCTAATGTTCCTCTCTATTATTATAGCTAGGTAGATATCTGCATACTTTGCCGATGCATACTGAGTCGGTCCTCATAACTACTAGAATTAGCTTCAAATACATTAAAATGGTCTATATTAGACGCGCTACGCACCTGAAAACTGCGATGGTGTGCAGCGATAATTCGTGAGCCTAGCTACCATGTTAGTCCTTAGGAAGCTCCATTGAAAACATAGCGGGGTTACATACTGTTCTAAAGATCTATTATAATTAATAAAAAAGCCATAGTTAGTTATCAGGATCCTGAGACATGCTATAGTAGTTAAGTTATATTGGGATATCATACACGAATAGCTACTACATGTTAGCAAAAGGATCTAGATATCTTGTTCACATGTGTAGTGCTACTTACGAATTTCTCCTCTGTTAGCCACTATAATATGATAGACTTGTTAGTATACCTGATGAAGTATGAATAGTAATAGGTGTAGAATATTTAGCATTACTAACCCAGCAGCTTGTTCAGATGCATAATAGAACTGTTTGCGCGAATATGATGCGCTGTCTTGCCTCCTTTTGGCGGCGGCGCGGCGTCCTCCTCAAAGACTTCTTCATTGTCATCGTTGATAGCGGCTTTGCGAGCCGCCTCTAAATCCTGAATATCTTGAAAATCCATATTGGATAGCCGAAGATGTTGAAAAGCGAAGTTCTATCTCTAACCGATGTAGTCAAGGGTTGTTATTATAAGCTTGCTGTGTGACGTAGAAGGTGAGGGAGGTTTGTTGAGCTCGACGTCGAGATTAGTTTGGTGGGGTATCTCAACTGGGGCTTGAGCTCTCCCCTTCGTCTACGCTGACGTATGAGGTAGGGAATCTCTAGGCTGGCTTTAGGATTGTGAGATGTGATAGTACCGGACACAAGTTATAATAAATGTAGAGTAGGTAACGCACACCTAAAAGAGGTAAATAAGGGGAGATTCGCCTTTGTCTCGGTTATGTGTGTCACGTAGATAATGGAAAATTGGAGAGGGCAGAAAATGTGAAAGGTAATGACTCGAAGAGGAGATTCAAGGCTTCTTAAGGTTTTTTTTTTTCCCTCTTACATTGCGGGCCAAGAAATGATTGCAGAAGGTTAAGTAGGTAGCGTTAGTCCAAGCTTCTTATTGCGCACACTACCCCTCGATATAGTCTAGTACAAATATGATAGAAAAGCACGGGTAGTGGAGGCTAAGAGGTCAGTTGCTTTGCATAGACCGCGGACGGGCAAGCGGGATGGGTTGCTTGAGGCGGACATTGAGGGGATTATTCTCCTTCTCGTCCCCCTTCCCTTGAGAGACGATCAGCTTGTCTCACACCTTGCCAAGTACCGGGACAAGCCTACAAGGTGTCACTAGACAAGCATCCATTGAGGCTATCGTTGCTTTTCTCTCTTGGCTCTGAGTTGCTACGGTTGTAGGAAACAGCTGCGTTTGATGAAACAGCCAATACGGCTCGCCGAAACCAGTCCGAATTGACCGGATGGGGCAACTACAGGGTTACAGGGTCTCGATCTGAGCTTCAAACTCGGGCCTCTTATACCGTGCAGTATCTAGGTCAGGCTAGTTAAAACATGAAGGACGGCGTTGTTCGTTGAGAGATTGGCAACGTCTAACGTTTAGTCCAATCTAGAACTGCGTTCGGGTTATAAACCCCGAGCATTACTATTCACTTCTAAACTGACAATAATAAGAGTAACGGGTGATATCTGACCCAAAGTAGGGGGAGATGATGACAGGGGAGGAAGATGCATGGCGGGGTTTGGCGGGGTCAAGGTGGGAGGTACCGTAGTAGTTTGCAGAAAAATGCACCTCGAGCACGAGCTCTGAGGTATTAACTGCTGCAACTGCTGTAAATGTTACAATACATGTATCCTTGTCATAAAGCGAGCTGCATTCCACAGCTCCTTCCTGGTCTCGACTGCAGAGCAAAGTCACACCGTCACGGAAGTATCTATGTAAGTATCTATGTAAGAGGGAAGGAGGTATCTTAATGTTATTTAGGTCATGAAAACCTCTGAGCTGGAATCTTAGTAGGTACATCATATTAACCTAAGGCTCATGTTGTGTATCTCCAAATTCAACCAATCATCAAAGCCAGATAAATTAGCTTATTTTTCTACTAACTATTGGAAATATCCGATAGTTTGGATTATCTGCGGAGGCTTGTAATGTTAGCTCGGACATCTTCCTAGGTTGTTGAGGGTGGCTTTTTTCGTTTCTATTATTTCGTATATGTATGCCTGATATATCTCTAACTATTGTCGTATTAGAGAGGGCGCATTTGATATATTACCTACCCTCAAGCATACCTACCTATATATACATGATATATATACGTGAAATACTGCTACGTGATTGGTAGTTGGTATTTTCTCGCATAGGTATAACTTACCTATTTGAGTAAACTCCTATTCAAGCTTCTCACGATTACATCATCATGTGTATACTCCTATAACTATGGATTGAGACTATAGCTCTGTTAGGAAGATCATAGTTGCTCTGCATATATCCGCATTTTATTACTACCGATATGCCAAGCTCAAGCATCCAAGTCTGATACTCTATAGGATAGCGGTGAAGATAATTTAGATTTTGTGTAAGTCTTAACTTCGATCTCCTTATGGTTTGTGCCTCGGTCTGTTTCGCTTTAACTGGAATTAAACTCGTAATACAGAATAATATATATTACTAACACCATTTGTCTCCTTTAGACTCCCATCGCTTCGGCTCGTACCCGGAACACGAGCTGCAATAGAAAATATATTATGCGCAAGGTACCTAAAAGGTAGGTAGGGTTGCGCAAACGTGTAAGCTTGTTTAGTGTCTATCATAGTCTATTGTAGTGTGCGCCAACTTCTACGGCCTTGGTACTAGTATTGCTTCCATCTGACAGCTTATCTAGATTGCGCTATTAATTACTCGCCAGTCGCTTGGCGAGACGATTAGAGTCACAACTTGGCCGTCGATCATGTAAATAACAAGGCTTTTTCTGGTACCTTTCCTTGCCAAGCTATGGATCTCATGCATCCACCCGCCTTCTGTTATATCATATTTCTTGTCCGCGTACTTGGCTCTAAACACTCAACTGTTTTCTCTCGGCACGAAACAACTAGGGAGTCATTTTGGATATGATGAGTGATTTTTTTTTTTTTGCTAATTATGCCACTTGTTTAATTTCTAATCTCATATTTGCCGTCACATGTTCGTTTGATTTTTGTATGAGGCTGAATAAAGGGTCTGGCAAATGCTATCTCCGATCAAGACATTGGCACTTACTTGGCTACGTAATAATCCATAGTAGACAATATAGGACAATTGCGAGCTGTGTGGTTGGGTTGACGTTTCATCCAATACCCCCCACATCTCTTTGAATGGATTATAGACCCCTATCATTGTGATCCTCCGGCTTCTTTCTTCGTTTCTTAATAGGTCCCTCGCAATAGGTAAGTATATCCGGTACCCATGAATATTGCTTCGTTCTAGCTGGTGTCAGATGAACACACCTACTGCGGAGTTAAGCACACCGTCTTGACATGAGTGTGATGAGGGCTAAAGTATCCGCGAAACTTTGATAGCTACCTAACGGAAGATAGCCAAATATAGGAGGTATGTACAGTACATAGGACCATCTAACTTAGTTTAACTTAGAATTTACGAAACGCGTCGTCAGAGCGTACATGTGACCAACTATCATGGACTAAGCACTCCCTGTTTTAAGCGTGGGGGTGTCCGTTACGTTTATGGGATTGGTACGGCCAAACAAACATGGTCAGTTCGAAGTCCCTAATTCGTGGATACTACTTGTCCGCTTATGAGTCCTATTGCCTTAACTTGCAGTAATGGTAATACTACCTTCAGGGGCTAGAGCTGTATCATTGCTATACTTTCCAAAAATGGAAATGAGCTTTGAGCACTAATTGGGGGTTTCGCCGTTAGCTTTATTGGGGCTCGTTTCTTAGGTAGGTAAACACGTTTCGAGTGAGATAAAAATATACACCGTGGAGTTTAATGATAATCATATCAACGACTTCAATATCTTGGCTTGTCATGTCTTTGTTTTACTGATCTCCACTAGGCGCTTGCTCGGCCCAACTACGAGACGAATAAATCAATGCCCAGGAATATCGAAAAATAATAAACTATCGTGCATCGGAAACGACCGTGCTCAGATGTTTAGAAGCATCTTTAAGCTAGAGAAGGATTGGATAACATACGATCATCCTTCTTTAATGATCTACTCATGTGCTGATATAAATGGAATCAACAGAATTTGAATTCTAGTGAGCTATCGCGAGAATGACCTCAAACCCCTTTCGATGCAATAGAAATACAGTTATTGCAATTCCTCCTCAATGAAGGTCCGGCCCTATCTAGACCAATTTCTTCCTCCCCTAACCCTTCTGCCGAAGAGTCGAATTCACTCTAAACGCAAACATGCGGTTTCTCTAGCCGAATGCATAATATCACCGGTGACAGGTTCCATAAGAGACAGTTGACGCCATGAACACCCCAGATATGCGGAATAGTTTATTTCGAGGCGACTTCCTTGATTTTATCACCAGCTGCGGCAGCCTTTTCCTTGGCTCCTTCTACGGCACCCAGGACACCAGCCTTCTCTCTGCCGCCCCAATGATGCCATTGGAGATAACGGTAACCTTGTGTTAATTGCGAGCCCTCGTTGATGAAATGGCACAGGAAGAGGAGATAGTTCTTAGGCGTCACGGCGAGAGCGTATCGCATAAAGGTTGCTGAGTAAATGCAGAGAGCGAATGTCATTTGACCGGAAATTCTGTAGTTGGGAGGCGATTTAGCTTAAGGATTTGCCTATGGATTACAGACAGAGGCAAGAGGTATTGCTTCACCAACTTGCGAAGCATCTCCGATGCGCTCTATCACGACACAATGCAGTAGGTATATGGGTAACGTACAGCTCGGGTGATTTCTGCGCATCCATCACGGCGGCGACGGGAATACCGAAGTTCGACGCCGGTCCCCAGAAATCTAATTATGAACTATATTAGCAGCTAATTCCTACTAATTTGACGGTAGCGCATCGTGTCATGAATGATCGCAAGTTGCGCCAGCTTTCAAGAATGATGGTAGAAGTATAGAACGCGGAGCTTCGAAGCAACACATGAGCTATCTGTGATATCTAGCATCATGCGCTACTCGAAGACAGTCGATCCAAAACGTAAAGACCAATTTAATTCCATCATGGATGGCCTCGGACATGATAGGGTAAAGTCCGTACACCGGAAGGGTAGTTGGGGTTCACATACGCGTCGAACATAAGTAGTTCAGAGTCGGATTCGACCGAATCTTAGCGTTGACTGCTTTGACGAAGGCGGCCATCTTGAAGCTATCACCGAAATATCAATTGGAGACGAGGAGGGAATATTTGTGAGGTAGGTGATGTCGTTGAAATTGCACGCCGGCGAGAGAAGATGGTCGGGTGTCCGATTCGGAACGAATGGAAAATTTCCAATGGGGCAGTTTGGCGGGCCTAAATTTGTTGGACAATTATTCAATAGCCTTAGACCTTAGATGTATCTTAACGTACTAACTACATACTGTTTGTACTTGTCAACTTAGGTCCAACCATTACCCAGCTGTTGTCAGCCGGTCCCGCTTATTCTAGCAAACACTCCGGGCACTACCTTCCATAATATCTATCAATCCTACCTCATAGTAGGCTCTGAATAGAATGTTGAACTTATTCCCCTTAAGGATAGCTGTATTATCTAATACACATGACATATAAAACACACACATGTACGCATGTACGTAATATGCAGTTTATTACTACGCAAGATATAAATAAATGTTCTCCATGATATATTTGTCAACCTCAACCTCAACCTCTAAGTCGGCAACCAATGAATTGGCCTTGAATTCTTAAGGTCCAATACGGAGCTATGAGCGAGATTATCTGAACTAATATAGAGCACAGAATATAATTCCCGCCATTTTGGTGCTATCCATTACGTAGTTTTTGGCCACCACCCCAAACGCCAATGGTATCTGCATTCGTTACTCGGTAGGATTTCTTCACCTTAGAACCAAACATTCGTTCTACAATTATCTTCGCGGCGGAGGATTGAATCCCGGGGGAGGGCCACCGGCAGGATTAAAGCCAGGAGGTGGGAATTGAGCGTTCTGAGGGAAGCCTGGCGGCGGGAATCCACCAGGAGGAAACCCAGGTGCGGGAGCTGGTAAATGTTAGCATGTAATCTTCTTGGATATTTAGAAATTAAGAATACTCACGGCCACCTCGTCCAGGTCCAAATCCAGGGGCTCCACCAAACTGGGGGAAAGGAGGGGGAGCACTACCACCAACACCAGCAGCTGGTCCCTAATAATTGTTAATACTAAAGCATTGACGTTTCTGCAAAACGGAAACTTACAGCAAGGGACGACGGGGCGGCACCACGGCCAGCAGGACGCGAGACACCTGGACCAGAAGTTAAGCCAGTAGGTAATCCACCAGGAGTACTCTTTCCAAGTCGCGTGCTAGGATCGGCCGGGGGCGCAGATTCAACAGACAAAGACACAATGTGAGCACCACGTAGAATCGTCAAACCCAGAGTACGCTTTTCCTCTGTCTCGATCGTCTGGGTTGCGGCTGAACTGGATGCGCCGGGGGCAGTAGGCTTATTTTGCTTCCTCTTTACGCGTCGGAACTCTTCAGTATCGGCCAGGACGAGATTCATATGCTATGAGACAATTAGCCGGGATTCTTAAACCAATAAATAAATATTAATTACCTTGTCGAAAGCAAGCATCTGTCCTGTCATCTGGCGGCCGTCCATCAACGTGACCCTCATGCGGTAGTTGATCTAGAATAGTTAGCAGGTACAGAACGCGTATAGTTCAAGGCACCGCGTATAATAACGCGACAAAGGGGTACGTACGTAACCGGCCTAGAGAGCATCCGTTTGGTCAGCCTGTAATGTCAACGATGAAGCTATGAATCGGTGAAGATAGACGACGTACCATTTTGCCCTGTTTGTTCGACATCTTTGCGATGATTAGCTCCAAAGGAGCCTCTCAAGGAAGTTGAGAAGAAGATTGTCTATTTATGTATTTGGAGTCGAAATGACTTTAGCTTAGTGTCTATCGATTCTTTATCGCGTTCGGTGGGTGGAAGTTTAGAGTCTGAGCTTCAATATGGTAGATAGGCGGAGCTCAATGGACGAAAATTGACGAGGCGGCATTCTCAAGGCTGAAGTACTAAGCTCCATTGAAAAGTGGGACTCTGTATATTAACGTTAATACTAAATGAGTAAAGCCAATTTGAGAAGCTCGGACCCCACCAACGTAGACTTTTCTTAAGCCACACTTTACACTAGCCTCAGAAGATCCAATTTACAATAGGGCAAGGAAACCCTTTTTACCACTGCGAAATTTTGTGGGTGCTTCTTTTTCGCATCTTCACCATCGCCAAATTTCGAGCCAAGAGACAACAACATCTTCCAACCTTTTCGCCATAGTTACTAACCATCAACCAGCCACCATGGTATGTTTAATTCCGAATTGCTTGCAAATATGCGCAGCTGCTGATAATTACCGTTAATAGTCGGAAAAGGCCCAGAACCCCATGCGGGAGCTCCGCATCCAGAAGCTCGTTCTCAACATCTCCGTTGGTGAATCTGGTGACAGATTGACTCGTGCCGCGAAGGTCTTGGAACAGCTGAGCGGTCAGACTCCTGTCTACAGTAAGTTTTTTTCACCGGTTGCTGACTGCAAATTTGACTATTCCTAACCCTCGCGCGATAGGCAAGGCTCGCTACACCGTCCGAACTTTCGGTATCCGACGTAATGAAAAGATCGCTGTCCACGTTACCGTCCGTGGCCCCAAGGCCGAGGAAATTCTCGAGCGTGGCCTTAAGGTCAAGGAGTACGAGCTCCGCAAGCGTAACTTCAGTGAGACCGGTAACTTTGGGTTCGGTATTAGCGAGCACATCGATCTCGGTATCAAGTACGACCCAGCCATCGGTATCTACGGCATGGACTTCTACTGCTGCATGACCCGTCCTGGTGAGCGCGTCACCCGCCGCCGCCGTGCCAAGAGCAGAATCGGTTCCGGCCACCGCATCAACCGCGACGAGACCGTAAAATGGTTCAAGCAGCGCTTCGACGGAATCGTCCGATAAATGTTAGGGCATTGGACGATATTGGAAGAAACTACATGGCGTTGGCTGGTTGCATTGATTCAGGCGGATCCCCGGGACAAAACGATTCATGGAGATGTATCTACTGAATTCTGGCGAGTAACATCGCTCTTCTAGCATGACTTGAATTAAGTCAGCTGCGGCCTCAGAGACCGACCGGCACACTGCCGGCTTCCCATGCATTAATGAAACTACGTGATATCCCACAATTCTCAGAGCTCCCTATTTTCTTAATATGATTTTAGAGGTCAAACACTATCCAATTAAGCGCAGTTGTTATTAAAGCATGAGTTAAAGTAGGGGTTTACTTGGCCTATAGGATTTCTTATAACTAGAGGCTTCCCATGCCTAGGTACTTCATAATAGCATTTGTCAATGGTCGTCCAAGGTGTTTATTTTCTATTGGAAGATTATAACTTTGTAACAAAGGTTCTATGAAACTAAGTAGTCTCGACTATTACTTACATCTTATTAGCCTGGAGGCCTTTGACATCGTCTATAAGTCAGTGTTATTAAATATATACCTTAGGTTCCTTAGGTAGGTATAGACACTTATGCCAGTCTTTATGAAATTATTGTCACTTAGACATGCGTAGGTACATGTATTAACCAGCTCAAATGCTATCAACTCCATGTATCTATACATATTAGTGGGTTAGTCAGCTACCTATAGTTATATTGTCTTAGAAGTAGAAGGCACGAAGACACTTCATACCTGCCATTGTTTTAACATTGAGCTGTGCCTTCCTCGCCTAGAGAAGATTACACAAATTTGACGTCCAGAAATCCATCACTTTCCTTTCAAGTTTATTTCCAAGTCTCCCCGGCTGGCTCACCAGTGGGTAGGATTTGATCATCTCGAGTATCTCTGGCCTTGACTACATTGGTTCAACCCACGCTCAAACTTTTCGATTATATCGTACTCATTTGTAGTTGGGTTCCTTTACGATCGCCTCTAGTCTGCGTGCGCGTTAAGTTTACTCTGTCGTACGGGTCATCTCGTTGACCTTATATACGGTTAACGAAGGCATTTAGAAGGACCTCTGTTCTAAACTATCTATCCCACTTATCTATAAGAGAATAGCTTGATACAGAACCAGAGGCCCGAAATATGGACAGCATTGTAAGTTATATTCATCTTAAGGTAAAACTTCTTCATAAGCCATACCGATTCGATTATATTAGCTCATATACAAATGGTTCTGAATGATTATAAATATATGGTGTTATAGGTACTAACTGTACTCGTAGTAGAGGAGAAACATGTCTTGTCAGTGGCGGCACAACTCTCACGATAACTGGGAAATGACGCAGAGCAACCCACCTTCGGAGCTCCCAAATGACCCTATCATTTCTACAAGCTCCAATCCCGATGAACGTTCTTCGTCGCCAGCCATACAGGACGAGCATACACAACAGTCTTGCGGCGATTCGACGCAAATAATGGCTGATAGTCTCTTTTCCAACGCCGCACAAGCAGAAACAGAGCCTATCCCTCGTGATAATTATATGCCCAGTCCCGAAGATATGCTCCTTCCGGATTCTCCATCTCACCCTTCTTTACCATCAGATTTTGAGGATCATATTACGTCACGTCGTAAAACCGAAACAGAAGCCATACAACCTCCCGAGATGGGTTCTGAGCACATTGGGGGTAGAGAAAGCGGCCACATCAGCCTTTCGGATGAGAGCGCCAGCGACTTTGTGATGTCTGAAAGCGAAGGAGATGGATCAGATAGCACTTATATCGTAGGAGCGAGTACCCGGCGTGGAAAGAAAAAGGCACCAGATAAAAAGGCCGCTAGTAAGGTCTCAAAATCACAGGCAACAGTCAAAAGCGACGCTCAAAATGCTTCGGTTGCCAAAGAAGCTAAGCAAGCAAACGCCATAAAAGGCCGGCCACGCAAAGTCGAGGGTACTTCCAAGACGGCGTCGAAACGTACTAAGCAGGTTGTGAATACCGCCAGCGTACAAAACCCACTGGCTAACTCTAAAGCCAAGCCTGTAACAACTCAAAGCCGCACATCACGGCATTTTCAAAAGGGAAATAAGGATAAAGGTCTTGAAAACTTAGATATGGCCATTAAGAAGCCTCAACCATCCCTTGGTGAGCAACAGGTGAAGCCAAAACCGCCTACCGCTAGACTGCCTAAGAAGTCATTTTATGGAGGGTCAAATGACGACCTATTGGCACAAGTCGCGCAAGATACTAAAAAAGGTACTAAGCCCCAATCAATGTCTAATGCAGGATCGGGGGTTAAACAGAGCTCGAGCAACCGGAAGCAGCTTTACCCTGCCTCACCAATTAGGGTGGACGATAGTGATGATGGTGATGACTACGTTTGGTATCCGCCGGAGTCCCCTGCAAAAGACCATAAACTACCACCGAAAGCTCCAGTTAGTAACAAACCTTCATCCAAGATGCCTGAAGTAGCTATAGGCCCCAATTCAAAGAAGAAGCGAAGCCCAATACAATCTGAACCGAAGTTGAGAAATTCAAAGAACAGTCCTACACGAACTTACGGACAGAAATCCAATAAGAGTGTAAATAGCAACACACAGTCCTATCGAACGAGGCGCCAGGAAACCTTGCACGTAGAAGAATCTATACCATCTGAATCTGAGCAGCCTAAGAATCAGAAACCTGATACATCCGGCTCTAATCCGAATCCTAAACCCGACAAGAATGTTGCTTTAACTCAGGTGAAAAAAGAAAGCAATGTAACTGACAAACGAAGACCTGTTCCCGTAAAGATTCTAGGAAAGCCTCCAGCCGAAGCTACAACTGCGAAACGGGACTCGGAGCCAGGCGAGGATACGGATATAATCCCCCCACGAAGACATGCACCGGCAGAATCTCAAGTCGCTAGTACACAGAGGGCTCCTAGGAAGGAATTAGCTACTTCGGCATCTGTTGAAAGCGCCACCAAAGACGAAATAAAACAAATAACACCCGGATCTCCGACAATTCATAAGGAACCTGAATATTTGCTTCATGATAGCCAAGATTATTATCCTACTATGCAGAGTAGCTCATCGAAGCAAAGACTGTCAGATAATTACTCGGCCAATCTTAAAGTATCCACGAAGCAGAAAATTCCCAACCACAATGAGAATCCGAAGGAAATCGAGAGCGAAATACACCAAAATTTAAGCTCAGTACAGAGAGTCAAGTCGCTGCTACCGGCTCAAAGTGCGGATTCTGGTCAGAGGGAGACTCATACAAGAGACGCACAAAAAGGCTTAGGTAACCTCAAGATTCATGTCGAGCAGGCACATAAGACTTCTATTCCAGCTAATGGCCAAAGCTCTCCTCACATGGAGGCAGAGGGTTACAAAAAATACGATATCAACCCAGCAGAGGCTACAAAGCGCTCGGATATTAGCAAGTCGGATAGTTCTTTAAAACCTTCGAGTATAATCGTAGGGAAGGAAGTAGCCTTCGGACGCAACCCACCACAGGAACCCCAGCAGCCTGCTGAATACAAGGAGCATTTCCGGCTCTCGGACGAGCATCAGGCATGGCTTAACCATAAGGTGTCTTGGCCTCAGCAGGCACCTCTCAACTTTGGGTCGCAACTACATCAAGCGAGTATTCTCTCATCAGCTGATCGTTTACAACCCCTAGCGGACAGTTCGATGAGGCCTAGTACCCTAAAGGATATGGAGAATCATCAACATGTATCCAATACAAAGTCTCGAATAATGTTCCCTTCAAGTCCCAGTGAAAGACCTTTGGCTAGAAATACAAATGACCTTATGCCTCAGGCCCCACAACTTCATCCGAAGTCAGTGGACTTTGCTTCTAGGATCGCTCAAGGTTACGAAGCAGATTTCCACCAAGAGGTTAATCGAGAAGTAGTTAATGAGAGGGCTAGCTATGAACCCGTAAGGCAACAGCTATCATGGTTCCAACCAAAAGTTGCCACAAAGTCGCGGATGGACTCAAAACAGCTGTCCCCCGAGTCTGCTGACTTTGCTAGGCTCCATAATGGAAAAGGCTCAAGAGGATATAGTAAACAACAGAGCAACTTGACGTCAAAACCTAGATACGAGGCGAAATGGCAGAACGCAGTTGAGGCTGCTTCCGGAGGGGTAGTAGATACTCTCCACTTCATTTCTGCAGTGAGTAGTTTCTTCACATAAAGTTGTATCGCAGAATTCGCTAACGGGACCATAGTCTCTTCTTGAACATCTAAGGACGCGAGAGGAAAGTGTTTTTGCCATCGTACACGAGTATAAACGTAACGGCACTAAAATTTCGGAGAAGCTGGTCAAACGCCAGACAGAAGAATGGCGCAATGCTTCGACTCTAGTAGAACAGAAATGCTTAGAAGTAGCGACGCTATATGAGGCATTATCTAAGGAAACTCAAGGCTTCCGAGCTAAATGTTCGTCTAAGCGTCGCGACCAAGCATATGCTGAGTGGCAACAGCAGACGGCGAGAGTCAAGGATGCAATACGTAAAGCTAGGGAGGAGATAACCTTGGGCCGAGGACAATGATCGGCTCCTGCTACCGGCTATCTCTGTCTTTAGACTTGACACTTTGCTATAGTAAACGTCGACATAGGGTCGTACTTGGTGATTCTGAGACAGAATTTTGCTAGGAGAAGTAGAAGTAATGTTGCAGCCAGCTCGAAAACTTTGGCTTGCTTGAAATTACATTATTCCATGAGGGGATATATTGCGGGTGCATTTTGATGCTAAGTCGGTAATTCTTTGCGTCCATAGACGAATTATATAAAGTGGGCATGGGGGAGGATAGGTGAAACGATATCACTCTAATTCAGAACATAGCTATTTTAGCAATTGATGATGTTGTTAACTAATCATCTATTCCAATCGTTCCCTACGTAGTGTATTCCGTGGCAATGTTGGAAATGCGAACCAAATTAGAAGTGTGGCGACTAATTGGGCGAAAACCACTACTTGGAAGACTCGGATCCCGAGCGTGTCGGCTAGAGCCCCGAGAGCAAAAGGCAGCAACGCGCCTCCAATTTGGCCAAGCAACACTACGAACGAGATAGCTCCTACATGCAACTCCCGCGGTAGTAAACGAGTCATCATGACGATACCGGCTGGGAATAATGGGCCTAGGCAGAATCCAAGCAACGTTATCGTAACAATCGAGACCGCGGGGACGTGGATAGCGGCGAAGAGGAGCTCGAATGCAAGAGCGGCGATCAGGTAGATGGTCGTCGCGGTCCTTACGCCGATCCTGTCGGTTACAACTCCAAGTACGAGACGCCCGGCCGCCTGGCCGATCCAAAAGCCGGACGACGAGAGACTAGCTAAGTAGTCGGATGCATGGTTAACTCGTTGCATGAAAACTACGATCCAGCCGGAGATCGCGTTCTCGGTGCCGACGTAGGCTAGAAAGTAGGCGGCGCAGATCCATGTAACACTGTGCTTGAAGATGGCGATTTTAGCGTCAGGAAGAGTTTCTCCTTGCGTCTCGAGGAGACGGTCCTGTTGGTGGTCGTTGCGGTACTTGTTCGAGTCCTCGAACCGGAAGGCGAGGAGGAGTATTATGGCCTCAAGGATAGAGGCGCCTAGCTGAAGATTTTGTTAGTGATTAGGATATAGAAGGGTTGATGTATTCTTAGAAAAGGATGGCTTACAAGAACGTAGTACCATGTATACCACGGCAGATCCCCGACGGACAGCATGGTGCCGGCGAGAAACGGGCCCATAGCCGCGCCTGCGGAAAACGAGCCGTGCAGGAACCCCTGGACGACATTGGCGTTCTCCATGCCTCCGGCCCAGGCGCAAAACGAGCCATCCAGAATCCCCGTGCCGAGCGACCCAACCGCCAACGCGACGAGCAAGACCGGGAACGACGGGTGGAATGCTGCGGCTGCGGTGAAAATAACATGGAATAGGGGGCCGAGGGCCGCGATCCCCCGCTGCCCGAAGCGGAGGTGCACGGCGCTGTTGAGATACGCGGCGGCTACGTACCCGACGGGCCACACCAGGAAGACGAAGGAGACGCCGAGGTCGGTCAGCTCGTAGTAGTCTTCGAACTGGGGCACCATGACCCCGAGGGTCGATACCATCGTTCCGAGGACTACGAAGGAGAACATGGACGCCGTGATCCGGAGCAGGAGGCTTCCGGGGGGAAGAATTGTTGTCCACTTGCTGGGACTCCGCTGGGCTGAGACCTGTGATGAGGGAGGGTACGTTGTTGAATCGTTGTCTCTGGTTAGAGACTCGGACTCGGACTCGGGGTTGAGGAGACGGTCGCCCTCGCGAGCTGCGTCGTTGGGGGATGGCATTGTGGATGAAGATGTAGTTTCTTGAATGTCACCAGAAGAAAGTCCTTAGTCCTTGGTTTAGTCCGAGACGCCTGATACGACCGGTGCTGGAAATATCGTGTCGCCCGAAAGCATCGTTTTGCAACTGCGAGAAACTACCCCGGAGTCCGTTTCGTACTTGCCTATACTACAAGTTGCATACTCCGTTTACTAAAGACATATGTATGTATGTAGGGTTGAATGGTAACTAATGCGGAAGACCCCTAGTTTTACCGAGTGGGTTAAAAAGGCACAGCTCCGTCTCAGCAACGACGGTCCGTCGGAGTTGCTGAAAACGGTGAGCGGTGATTTGCTATTGGACTCTCACATTACAATTTCATGATTTTGTCTTATAGATGTTTTTATTTGCATGTTTTTGAATGAGATAAGGAGTTGAGCTGAGCTGAGATGATTAGTGAGATGACGTCAATGTGTGGTTGGGGTATGAGATTAATGATAGTTTCACTTACACTTATTGATTGCTTAGATTCGTAGATAAGTTAACTGATATTATGAGTGGTTTATATAATTTGAAGGTTTATTTATATATTATAAATCGATCGGGGTAAAATAATGATTGTTCACTGACATTCCGTATTTTTTAAATGAGAGCTTGAATTTACACTTAGTTATAGGTATCTCGTAGGAGGGGCTTCCTAGGCTATGAAACTTGGATCTCAATTGGATATAAAGGGTAATTCGCCCTCTACTAACTTTGGAGCGTCCTATTTAAGTTAATAGGTAGGTAGACATATTGTCATTGATGGGAGACTTTAGTACTCCCTAAAGGCTATGTCTTCGAGTTCACTGGTCTCTCCTTATATTCTGTCCCTACCTAGGTATACAAACGGGCGAGTTTTATAATTCTACTCCCAGTCTACCGCTTTACACCAACGCAGCAAATATACTCAACTCACATACCCCCGCCTCAATAGAAAAGCTTCCTACCCAGTAACGTCAAACTCATCAATCACGCTTCTGGGCTTAACAAACTTGCCCAGAGGCTTATACGTTAGATGGTCCATACCAAAGCTCTTCGGACCACCTATCTCGATACCCCTCTCTGAAGTCCAGCGCTCGCTGGCTGTAATACCGAGGACGATAACTAGAAGTCCGTACCGGTACTCGGGCGTGCCGATAGCCTCGCCGTTCTGCGCGTCGATCACTGTGATCAGGTCGGGCACAAGGCCCAGCACCTCGCCCTCCGTCTCGACGGATTCCCCCTCTACGACCGATTGCACGATCTTGATAGCGGCGATATTCTCGTTCTTGAACGGAATCTTGATCCGGCCCTGGAACTGCGGTTGACTAGGGGTGGGATGTGCTTTGACGCCCGTATCGTCGTCGACCACGTCCGCGCCTTCGATGATACACTCTCCGTAAATATGGCCCATTCGAAGCGTGCGTTCTACGCCGACTATCTTACCCTTCCAGAGCACCTTGCCCGCCTCGGGACCGCCGCATTCCGCTAAGATGGTCTCCGCAACATTGTCCACGCGGTTTGATTTGCGCGCCTTGGCAACCGCCCGTCCGATCCGCCATGATTGTGAGATGGTATGCTCGACGGCCCATCGTTTACACTCGGCGCCGGTCACAGGTGGGTCGGCGAACCCTACGCCTGAACCCATCTGGCTTAACGCTGCGCGAAGGATGCGTTCGACCTGTAGGTCTGAAGTTGATTTCGGCATGACCACCACGTTCCCATTACCGTCTGCCATTGCGACAGGTGACCAAATAGGAGAGCGTTCGTTAAAAACGACGGGAGTGGTCTAGTTAGAGCTTAGAGTTAGCGACCATTTAAAATATTTGTTCCATTTGATCTCATCCGAGTGGGCGCGAGATGCAATGCTGTAGTCTTAGGAAACTAAACCCCTAACATAGATTTAAAGGGGCAACGAAAAAACTTAGATACTGACCTGCCACTTAGTGGGATATGCCCTCCCCATCCAATCTCCATCCACAGCCGGCAAGTCCATGTTAGTACTTGCGCCAATAATCATGCTCTGTAGACCGTTCCCACCACCGATCTCTACCGAAATGATATGTGTCGGGTTATCACCACAGATCTTGTACAGTTCCTCCTGTGCCTCGGTCATCTCGTCTCCGCTCAACTTTTCAATCCCGACTGTAGGTGAGCCAGCATGACCACCAGTCGCTATTGCTGCGTCATCCGATAAGTCGTCTGGACTTATAACACGGACCACGTCACCCCTACGGAGCATTTGTCTGAGGCGGATCATAGATGAATAGGGGCTACCGCCCCCACCTGTGCCGAGGATATAGCAGCCGATGGAAATCCAACTAAGATCTGTCTCGTTGATATACCAGACCCGATTTTTGACGTTAGGCTTATAGCTATCAATGTCTAAATCTTCCTTGGGCTCTGACTTCGTCTTCTTATTTGAGTCCTTAGCAGCCTTTTCGTACTCATCCATTTGAACTTCTGTATCTGCAGACGTCTCTTCAAAATTGAGGGTTGAGAAATCCGTGCGCGAGTAATCAAGATCTCCCGCAGCCCGTACGGTAAACCTTGTCTTGTTGGCTATATACTATTTTTATCGTTAGTGAATAATTAGATTAATAGGATTTTGGTGAAGAATTACCGGTAGAGGTAGAGTATCTATTTCTACCACTTTGGCTGTTGACCTTGATGCACCGTTTGCTACAGCCTTCTCAATAGCATCTTGAGAGATCTCATCCAATATGTGTTTTATAGACTTAGACTCAGTAGATTTCACTGTATCAATAACAGCACTGACTCTTGCAATCGCGGCTCCAATGGCATTTGCAACGCCCGACCACTTCGGCTTGAGCACTTTACTGGCTCCTCTTAGTTCATCTGGAGCGATCACTGCTCCACCTCCTACGAGAAGTACGGGAAGGTCTTCCGGTGAGGTTTTCATGGTATCGATGATCTTCTCGATCTTGTGCTTAACGACGGCCTTGAATTTTGCTACCCCTTCATCGTCTAATGTGCCTTTTACTAACTCCCTATTCCCAATATCGACTGTATCATTCGCAAGTACCGTGCAGTCGGTAGCGGTGAGGACTTTACCACCAAAGACCCGAGCTTCTTCGGTGATCTTGTAACCAACGCTATCTGGGCCTACAGTTAACGTTTCGTCATTTCGGACGATTGAGCCACCGCCTAGGCCAATACTCTTGACATCTGGACATGAAAAGTTCATTCGAACTCCTGCTAAGTCGCTATGCGCAGCTTGTTGCCGTGGAAAGCCATTTGCGAGCAAGAGACCAACGTCGGTAGTTGTGCCACCTATGTCAACTACCATCATTGCCTCGTCCAGTTCGTTCTGTACTAGGAACGCAGCACCACGCATGCTGTTCGTCGGACCACTAGAGAAAGTTCGGATGGGTAGCTTCGCCGCCATATCACCAGACAAAATTGTACCGTCATTTTGTGTAATGAAGACGGGACAATCCAAGCCCAGGCGCTTAATCGGCTCCTGGAAAGAACGAATCGTTTTGCGAGCGAATGCAAGAATCGACGCGTTCAAGATCGCAGCATTCTCTCGCTCGAGGAATCCTAGATTGGCGACTTCTTTAGAGCAGACGACATCGCATCCAGGAAGCTCGGAACGAATAATAGCAGCAGCGCGCTCCTCTTGCTGTTCGATAGTATCGATGGGACTGAACACTCCATTCACGACTATACTTTTAACCCCCTTCTCTCGAATGATAGCGCATTGCTCTTTAATCTCATTCTCGTCGATATCGGAAATGATATACCCATCGACTTCTAAGCCTCCCTTTAGAAGCGCATAATAGTCGAGAATAAGCTCACGCATGTCATCGGGCCAGTCCACACAGGGAGGCGCATGCTTAGAAAAGGGGCCGCAAAGTCGGAGTACAGCAACTTTAGATAATCGCGCAGCATCTCTCTCAATGACGGCGTTGACAAAGTGGGTAGTTCCAATAGTAACACTAGCAACTTGGTCTGGGGTGATTCCCGCTGCGCTGAACATAGTAGTAATAGCATCGTTGATGCCAAGACTTGGATTTGTCGTGGTCGGGGCCTTGTGCCAGGCAATAATACCTTTGTCCGGTTCTAAAACTCGCGAGGGATCGAGTACGACACCATCGGTATTTGTGCCGCCAACGTCGACGCCGATGCGTAAAGACTTACCAGAGCTAACCGTAGACGCCATTTTCGCACGATGAATAGGTAGGTAGACTTAGGTACCTAAGCATATGTTGCTACGAGGAATGTGTATGTGTCTTTCGGCTGCGACCGAAGTTCCGGAGAGATATAAAAGTGAACTCTTCGTCTGCTTAGCCTATCCATACCGAAACCGGCTTCGGCCCCGGTTAGCTGTATTTATACCCAAGTTGCAGGACAGGGCAAATAATCCATTGCCACTAGCATTCGTAGACTTGGACTCAGATTTGGACGATGTTTATGATGTTCGAGTCTGCTTGATAAGCTTCGTCACATGCATTATAATTATATTTTTCTCTCGGAATATGTAACATATAATAACTATTTATTTTGTACATTTGAATGGGAAATAGATAATATGGTAGTAATTCACGGCGTATATCTTGAATGTGAGAGAAACGTAATGTAGCAAGATGGGGTTTCTTACATGTAAGGATTGGATCTTGATGTGGGGCGGATTGTCGAACTCCACAGCTTGAAAGATCAGATAAGATAAGATAGGAGAGATCCGCACGTGGGGTAAAGATTAAAAGTATTATACATCCATACATGTACCTCTGTACATATGTACATACCTACATGCATCTCCTCTTTCTTGTCACACCCCCCTTGTCCAATCCTAGTTTTATAGGTAACATAGTTGCTTGTCCTACTTGTTATCTCTAGATCCCGGACCTTCTAGTCGGTATGTGCAAGCCAAGTGAACCCGATAGGATAAGCAATAGTTTTATTCGGGAGGTGACATATTATATCTACATCCGTAATGGCTGAAATGTTGGCGTCGTGCTATATTACTTAGCAAGGCCCCCTTTTTGAAATTGCTTTTGCTTTTCCTGAGCTCTAGTCTAGGTATTTCTATCCTAATTCATATCATTCTGGTCTAACTAAGGCTTAGCATAGCGATGGGCGCTGGCTTAAGATCTCGTTTCGAAGCGGTTAAGGAGAAGATTCGGTTGCATGGCGATGAAAGTCAACATGAACAAACTGATCAATGGAGTAATCGTGACTTGATCCCTTTACCGCCGAGCCGAAGAACTTGGGGTAAGTTTGAACTGTCATTCGATATTGTTCTAGATCTTTGTTTTCTCACATTGCGATTAGGTTGGTTTCATTATTTCGGCTTCTGGACATTGTCGTCGCTGAATATCGTCAACTGGCAGACCCCAAGTAGCTTCTTGAGTAAGCCTTATGATTGATGGTTCTAGTTCTTTATTCTCTGACAGTCAATGCAGCTCAGGGGTTATCCGTTCCCCAAGCCATGCTGATAATAGTCGTTGGTCGTTTGCTGATAACTGCTTTTGCAACTCTGATTGCCGTATGTTATACTGAAATTCCTCCTTTCCCCTTCGGTCTGTCTCGGGGGGTCAATATTTTCTTATCAAGCCGACGAATGAATTATTACTCCTGAGACATACCTAAACCTCATACACTTTTTACTCAATGAAGTAAGTAATTGTTGATCATTATTGTTACAGTGGTGCGGTATACAGTGGCATGTTGGCTTTACGGTCCAGAACCGCTTTACGTGGGGGATGCGAGCGAGTTATATCCCTTTACTGCAACGGATTTTGCTTAATTTTATCTGGAACGCCGTGCAGTGTTGGAATGGCGGACGACTTGCTGCCGTTTGTTTGACAGCCATTTCCCCGTCTTTTGCTAACATGCGAAATTTTCTGCCTGAGAGCCTACCAGCTACTAGCGATCAGTTTGTCGGCTTTATTGTCTTCTGGGCCTTGTCGACACCACTGTTATGGATTCCACCGGAAAAGTTCAAGATTCCTTTCTTATTTACGTCTATTTACAGCGCCCTGGGTATGCTTGCTATGATGATATGGGCATTGTCAACTGCGAAAGGCGTTGGCTCTCTCTTCAGTACCGGAGTAGCGCTCCCAGAAGGTTCGTGGAGTGTCTCCTGGCTTTTAATGGCTGGTATAAACCAAACAATTGGGGGCGTTGCAGCGGGTATCACCAACGGATCTGACTTCTCCCGGTATGCACGAAGCTGGAAAGGTTATGTGATTGGAACAATTACGTCCGGATGGATAACTGGTGTGCTCGTATGCCTCGTTGGTCTAGTGACTACCAGTGCAGCTCAGAAAATCTATGGTGAAGTGTATTGGAACCCGCCAGACCTCCTAATGATGATGATGGACAATGGGAACGGATCTCCAGCGTCTCGAGCCGGCGTATTCTTCCTCTCATTCGGGTTTGGGTTAACTAGCATGTTTGAAAACATTTGCGGTAATGCGGTATCCGGTGGTATTGATCTAGCCGGGTTATGGCCACGCTACATCAACATACGAAGAGGTGCTATCATCACTTTCGTTGCCGCTTGGATTGTTCAACCCTGGCAACTCGTGAATAGGGCCGTTACATTCATCCAGGTCTTAAGTTCATTCTCTGTTTTCTTGTCGCCTATGATCGGTTTAATGGCGGTCGACTTTTTCCTTTTACGTGGACGTAAAATCCGGTTGTCGCACTTATACTCCGGGTCCAGCTCATCATACTGGTACTGGAATGGTGTTAATTGGCGAGCGATCATAGCATGGATCTGTGGCTGGGCCCCAACCATCGGCGGCCTGGTCACCACTGTTAAGCAGGATGCTAATGCGCCTAAAGCTTTAAGCGAATTATACTTCATGGCATTCTTCATAGGTGAGTGTAGTTGGCGTTTAAAGAGATTATTGCCCTAAGTTTTAACATTTCACTTCCACTCAGGGTTTTTTACGAGCGCGACCATTTTCTTTGGTCTTAATAAGCTTTTCCCCGTCAAGGGGATGGGCGAGTACGACGAAGTCGATATTTATGGAACCTTCACTATCAAAGAAGCAGCAAAATTAGGAGTTGTTCATGCGGAGTTTCAAATCGACGGTTTAGAAAGCGGCGATCATTCTCTAGCCCAAGAAATCTTCGAGAAGAAGGACTAGTTAATAGATAATTCAATCTAGAGTTAGAGGCCTATCTAAAATCTCGAGTAACGAACACAGCCCTACACAGTCCTCGTAGAAATGGCATATTATACGAGGTCTAGCAAGGGTATCGGAATTACCGGGTCCTTGGAATCGTATAGTTGGGATTTATTTACAATGGCTTTTGTAGAAGTGTGAATAGCCTCATTATATTTGGGGTTTACTCAAAATCAAAATCAACCACTTAAAATCTGAAATTTATACATTGACTTTATCTGGTCAGTAGAAATAACAAACAAGTTAACAAGTCAAAAACTCGCTTTACTTGTTAGAAACATTGTATTCGAGGGCGTGTCGCGTTGTGTCTATTGGTATCATAATCAATGTACATGTTTTTACAGCGGATGTATATCTCACTTCAGCTTGCTCAACATCTCTTGAGCCCGCTCTACTAACCCTTTAGCTTTAGCCAACTCCTCTTGGCCATCCGCCCTATCTTTAAGGGTCGGGCCTTGCTTCAGAGCATCGCCGATCACACCTTCAACACCTCGGACCGCTTTTCGGCCTTCCTCTCTTACTTCGCCTTCCCAGAACTTCCGCGCTGCTTCCCATTGCTTCTGCATGCGCCTCAAGCTCCATGCAATACCCAATGCAGCAACCGCGCCAGCTTCGTAGAGCGTTGTTGTCAAGGTACTGAAGTAAATAAGCATGCCAAGTGTAGTCGTGAGCCCCGACGTACTAAGAGTTTGCAGCGTAAGCTTTTGCGCGAGTGCTTGTAAGGCGGGGATAGTTTCTGTTTGAAGGTAACGACGCGTGGCAGGGATATTTACTGGCCAAGGGGCTGTTGCTGGTGTAGTCGTCTTAGTATCCAACTGATTAGACTCGGCACCATTTTCTTCAGTATATGATGGATCTGGGAAAGGTCCCAAAGCAATACCCGCTTCTTTCATTCTTCCAGCAAGAAAGATGGCATTCCTCTCTGATCCCAGTAAGAACCTTTGGTTGAGGATATCGTTCGTGAGCATCCCCACGTCATCCACACGCCAAAATAGTTTCCACCACCCCAACTTGCGCCAGCGCCTGCTGGAGAATGCCAAGTCAAGTTGCTCTTGTAGTTCAGTGTGCGCGTTTTCTGCCCAATCATCAAGGTTATTTTGTAACACTGTCGGGGGTGTGGGTGAGAGCGTTGAAGATAATGACGAGCCGATCCGACGAGCTTGTTCTCGCTCTATACTTGCGGACGTACTCCTGAGTAGTGAACCTATGAGCTCCTTAACGGGTGGTTTAGTCGTGCCGTCGGAAGAAGACATGATGTCCGCCTTTAACCACTCGACTAACTTCGGAACGTTGCTTTGGAACCAAAGGTGTTCAAACTCGATGGCATTGTTAAGATTCTTGCGAACTAGACCTAATCCGATACTTGCAGTTCCAATATCGATAAGAGTAAATGGCAAGAGAGAATCATCTGGTGGTTTATATCCGGGCAAGTTCACCGCGGTGGTGACCACATTTTTGCTTTCTCGTGTAGGCATCGAAACTATCGACGCGAGACCTAGAATCCCATCTGCCACAACGAGGGCTTTGTGCACTGGTGTCGTAAGAGGAGTATGTCTCCCCGTACTAGAAGTAGGTACTTCTATTGAAGGAACAAGTGCCGAATCTTCAAACCCCCCAAGAGCTCCTATTTCTTGCGCAGATATGGAGGGATTCACATCCATAAGCAGCAACTCTAGATTGTGTCCATTGAGTGTCGCAGACGAGACATGGATCTCGTGTAGCAAGCTATCCCTCGCAGAGACTGAAATAGATCCAAATTGTTGGGGTATATCTTCCCCAACTCGAATGATCATGGGCTGTGTTAAATTGTGTTTATCGACTTCTTCCTCCCATTCTTCCTTGGACTTCAGCGGATCAGCGAGTAAAAGTTTTAGCACTTGCTTTGCAGTCTCACTAGACTCGGTCCCATTTGTTAGACCTAGTACAGCTACTCTTATGGATTCATTGCCCGGCTGTTGCCGCAGACCATTGATGGCCAACTGTAGGCGAGGAAGGTTGACATAGTTGGCAGCGTGCTTTTCAAGCTCGACAAGAATATACTCCAATTCCTTGCGGGGATTGGCGATCACACGATTAGAACTAGAGGAAGTCGTCGAAGCGAAACGACGAGGATTTGGCGACTTCCGTTTCGAACGACGACTGGAATTTGCGCTAGATCGACTCGATAATGAGCAAAAGAAACATACTGAATTCCTCTCAGTGCTCTGGGTCTTTAAATAAACGGAACTTTTGCGCCTAAGAGGCTGTAGACCAAATCGAGGAGGCATTCTGCCTCGAATCCTTGAAAGCGAGCGCAAAGTTCTTGAACTTTTTCAATTTAAGCTCAAGTTTGAAGCTCCCACCTCCCACTTGGAAGCTCCAAAATGCGCGGCTTCTATCGGAATAACTTCGGCTTATCTAATGTAATGATTCTAACATGAGGTTGACTGGGATTTAATTGTACTAGAAGGTACTACAGAAGGCGCTAATCCCTGCTTTAAGTTAAACCCCGCCAATGGATCTACGTTAACTACTTCACATTTATTCCACTATTCCAGTACTACATTTATTCTTTCCCTACCAAAACAACAGCGACATTCATACCTAATTCACGACCTTATGAATTCAAGTTTTATTCATTCGCGCATTAGTTATCTGTACTTTACGATACATTTATAAAACAAAGATTGACCCTGGACCTGGACCTAAACCTAGACTTAGACTTCACCATACAAAAACCGTAGATATATTACAAAGATGGCTCAATCGACAGCCCATCGCCGACTCCTCCAAGAGTATAAGATGTTAACTAACAACCCTCCTGATGGCATTACGGCCGGTCCAGTTAGCGAGGACGATATGCTTCATTGGGAAGCCCTGATCCAAGGCCCCGAAGGAACACCCTTCGAAGGTGGTGTCTTCCCTGCCGAACTCAAGTTCCCCAAAGACTACCCATTAGCGCCTCCAAAGATGACCTTTCTAGGCGAGATCTTTCACCCCAATAGTTTGTCTAACCCTTCCTACATGGATCTAACTGAATCATCTCTAATATTGATCAAACAACAGTCTACCCGAGCGGCCTAGTCTGCATCTCTATCCTGCACCCGCCCGGAGACGACCCAAACCACTACGAGCACGCGTCGGAGAGGTGGAGTCCGATCCAGTCGGTCGAGAAGATCCTGATATCCGTCATGAGTATGTTAGCGGAGCCCAACGACGAGAGCCCGGCCAACGTCGAGGCGGCTAAGATGTGGCGAGAGAGCCGCGCGGAGTATGAGAAGAAGGTGCGAAACGGCGTCCGACACATGCTAGGCCTCTAGTGGAGAGAAAGTACACCACCCTCCATCACCAAGCTTGTGCAAACCGTGCCTCATCGCCGGCTTATCCGAGGCGTCCTCGATTCTTTCAAGCGCGCCCTCTTAGTGGGCTGGTAAGGTAGACCATTAAATGAACATAATCACCACACCATGGCTACGAACTAGATTCCAACACGAGGTTATCATGATACGGGATAAGGGTGTTAAAATGGGCTGTACTCAAGTTGGCCTCAAGGTATAAAAAACATCACTTACAACGGAGCGACTAGGGACAGCGGAATAGCTGGATAGCAACACCATCTCGTCACAACTTCATAATACGTGGAGGGTCGAAAAGTTAGCCCCGTTTTCCGCTTTACTTTTTGATAATTATGCATAGGTAGCGAAGGTGTTCAGGTTGTGTATTTATATAAATTACATACACAAACAATATTACTACAAAGATCGCAAGGACCACTACATACGTGTTCGCATCAATGTTTAAAATTATGAATTCATGCTATGGCTAAAATGCAATGCAAACCCAAATTACAATCGTTTCTGTACTCTCAACGCCTGTGCATGTACGTGCGCATGCTATGCAAATTTCGTAGCTGATTCCTTGCAGAACCGTCATGATCGTCTAGCTTTCCGATAACTTTCCATGCATACAGTAGGAAAATATGCTAACACTTAACTCCTAAGCAGCTCGGATATCACCGCCTTAAGCAGCCTCAATGGTGATGTTGGCACTGTGGCTCTGGATCTGGGTCATGCCAGAAGCCTGTGTAATATGTTAGTCTTTGTACAAACTTCAAAATAGTCATGATTCTCGAGAAGAGAACAAGGGAGTACTTACGCCGACGAGATACGGGATCGCAGCAACGAGCTTGTAGTCACCAGCGGTGAAGGACTCCGGGATAGGCACGTCGATGGTGAACTTGCCGGGCTGCGGCTCGTTGTCGGGGAACAGCGAGGTGTAGGCGACGCGCCGGCCGATGCAGACAATGTCGCCGCAGTCCCAGGCCTCGGGCGCTAGACCCCACACGATGCCGAAGTCATCCCAGTTCTGGATGTAGATGGCGGCTGTGAGCGTCACGGTGACGGTCGAGCCGGCTTTGGCCGAGGCGGGAGCCGCGATGTTGGTGATGTAGGCGGATGAGAGGGGGAGGGCCGCAAGGGCGGTGGCGAGGAAGGACTTGATGGAAACCATGTTGGATGATAGAGGATTGGTTGGTTTGAGGTTGTTTAGGTGAAAGGGTAGAGGATGTTATTAGGAATTATGATGACTTTACTTTGTATAGATGAACTTAATTATCTTGTTACTTAGGAAACCAAAATATCAACCTACCAGCCTGGGCAACCATCATCTCTTATATATCACAACAACCCCTCGCCCCCTTTGAGAAGAAAACCCAGTTAGCCGTGGCATCACTCATCACATACCCAGCACGTTGTTTGCGGATAATCCGCCCACTCGGGATATTCCTGCTCGGAAAACTACTTAATGTACAGTACAGTACCATCAATACGAAGTGATCGACACGAATTAACTGGCCCGAGCAGCGAAGATGGCGGTATTCGCTAAAGGGGGCTCAGCTCCGCCTTGCTTAGCGCAGCTCGCGGGTATTAACCTACCTAAGCTAGGTTGTTCAGTTCGGTTCCTCCACCGCCTCGTAAAATATATGTATACATACAACTAAGCCAGACCCAGCGGGAAGGGTCTTTTACTTTTGATGCGCGTACCATGTGGTTACATGGCTACGAGATGTTTTGTTAGATATTCTCTAGGTACTTAAAATAGGCACATACTACTAAGGTAAGGTTGGTAATATTTGTGTGCGCCGTAATGCCGGGTCATTCGGTTGGTTTAGAGCTGATGTGAGCCGCTTTGTTTAAGTTGGACTTTAAAAGGGCTGAAGATTAACTAACAGCCGGTCGCATCGCTGGTCTATCGTAAATGGATGATTTTAGTTCGTATGCCGTCAGGAGTTTAACATATACGTATACGTACTTTCTACCCGTATCACGTCTTGTCGACGTCATGTCAGGTGTCTAGCAGCAAATGAGGTTCTGTTAGGGGTTATTATTACCTAATGCGCTTGTGGGGTTTCCTAATACATGGTATATCGGGGAGATGCGCTAAAAGGCGCTTAGCCGGCAGCTAATGAGGCTGGTCCAGGGGGACAGGGGGACAGGTACGACGCTGTTTTTAGCATCTCCATCTGCCGTCCGACATCACTAAAATCACTACCGGATCTCCCATTAGCTTCTTTCTAACAGCTACATAGCATATATCTTCTGGGCACCGTCATTATCGTAATTTTTTTCCATTATTCCCAGGGGTTTCGCCTGTGAAAAGTCGGCATTGCTTAAAATATTCCATGCGCATAGCAGATAATATGTTATTAATTATTAATGGAGAAACGAAATGAATTTCACGCTATGATATTATGCAGTTACTTCGGAAGATTTTGACTGAGCATCATCAGTTGATGCAATCAGTCTCCTTTACTGGATATCGATACGAATGGAGACGCAACGTGACATTGACAACGAGCCTCAGTGGTCTATTCTAACGTATCGTTATGTGAGCCGATAGGGCTGAATCCATGCAGATATTTTACGCTTGCACCTACACTACCTCTATACATTTACGAATGTACCATACGCGATGACGGCGCAGCAGATAGATGTGGTGAGATATTGTTCAGCAGTTCTCTACCATATCCCTTTCATATCCTCTTCCGATAACATCTCATCTAATAACGAGCTTTGCTAAATATAACCACCTCCTAAAGTTTCCATTTACTTAGAGTAAAATGCTTAATTTGACTTCACACGCACACATGCTCCTAGTGAAGCCTTCTTAGTAGCCGTGTGATGGCTCTACCCCGATGTTGCATCAACTATTAGGCATTCAAAAAGATAGGGTCACGGAGAGAAGAGACACCAGCGGTTCCTACAAGCATATCACAAGTTGTATAACTAAATACATTACGAAGACGCCGAATAAATGATGATCAGTGCGTAGGCGTAGTCGTGATATTTTCAGCTACCTAATTTGAGTAGTGGACGGACCACCGCAACATTCTGTAAGCTACCTAGGTAGGTAGGTATGTATTCCTCTGCAACTTCAGGCACGCAACGAGAAGAATCTAACAAGTAAGGTAAGTATAGTAATTATCAATTCCGGCATCGTGTCTTACCATTTGCGCTTCGGAGGCTGTGCCAGTCCACGCGCCAGTCCGTCAGTCAAATCCCTGAGTGTCTTGGAAGCAGACTTAATACTACTGCGGTAAATAAATTAGTTATCAAGGAGAATAGTCGAGCCCATTGCAAGCTACTATTGTCAGCACTCACCCGCCTGCGATACAAAGTACCATTTGCTATGCGCAATTGAACGATATCATCCTGCAGCTCATCGCGACAACTCTCGATGCGAGCCTCTAGGTAATCAAAGTATTGATCGATACGAGCCTCTAGATGTTCGAAGCGAGCATTTAAACGCGTCTCCATATTTCGGATCTCGTCGCGTAGTTCGTAGATGATGCTCATTAGTAGAATGCGATTCTGCCTTCCGGGCGTGTTGGCAGGGTACACCATTTCGGTCGACGGGGTCGCATGGGAGTCGGGTTGAGATCGAGAAGCCATGGTAGATTAGGTATCTTGGGTATCTACCTAGGCATATATGGAACTACCACGAGGTTGAAGTCGGGAGGTTGTATGTATTGATGATGATGTCTTAGAGAACTAGAATATCCTCGTAACATGCTACAAGGTTCCTATTTATGCCTGGCTTAGGTACCTAAGGTACGAAATCAGGAGATTGTCTAACCTGCTAGGCAACCTCATGACTCCCATAGCGACCGTAAGTCAATAAGTTATTTTATTTGCCCGATAACCACTTTGGATACAGGTACTCAACTCGTAACCAATAACGAGAAATATGTCAGTCTCACGATTGCGTACGATATAAGAACCCCCTCAAACAATCCCCAACTAAAGTAGTATCAGCTCGTCGCTCGAACCATGGGCACTAATAAAAAATATAGTGAAGGCTCGCCCTACCCCCTATATATTGTCAGATATAAATATCTGTCCGACATATATACAATATAATAAAATAAAATCTATTATCAAATAACCTTTTAGTGGTGTAGCGGTATGTTGACATACATCCACTATGTGCCTATTAGCTGTATAACGGCATCCTATATGTAGGAATAGCTTTAAGTTAAATAGGTAGATACGCTCGCCACTTAGACGTGACTGGGGCGACGAGTATAGGTTCAGAGGATCCTGGGACTCCGGGAGATTCAGGGGTTAATTTGAGCCATATTATAATAGATGACTGATTCAAGCAAATGTGCGAATATCTTCAAATAAACAGCCCTTTTCAGGAATCTTTTTTTACCTAAACTTGATTAAACAATAAATAGTGACTTCTTTTTATACTTATCCTGCGAAATTACTCATAGCACTGACGCTATTGATCAGCAACCAGTTGCAATTGATAAGAAATCTGTCCAAGCCAATAGCCGAGCAAATATTATTCGACTTTATGACAAAGCTTCGTTACAAACACCTCAAGCTCGTACAGCATATCCTCTATTGACTTTGCTTCGTTGATGCGTGTAGTTGCTTTCCCAAAGATGTCCCATACCGGTAGATACCTCTTGTCTCCCCCCCACGAGCTGCTATCGATGTTGTCCAAAGCTCTCTTTAGATTGTCTCTTATTCTAATTGCTTTACGGATGCTAGGCCATTTCTTTTCATCTTTCAGGTAGTTTGTTCGGTATCTCTCGACTATTAGAACGCAGTACATGATAAGTGAGGCCAGGCCAGCTGCTAGAGCTGTTGCGATGGACGACCCGTCATGGTACTCCACGGTCTTGAGTGAACGGGGGTTCCAGGAATCAGCAACCTTGTTTCCGGGAAAGTAGTAATTTATTGCGGAAGTGTCCTCTGATGCGGCGTCCGGTTGGCCTAGGTGATCGGCTGCTCCGATGCGAAAAATATAGTTTGGTGCTTGCGTAAAGGGGAGGTTGGCTTTGCTCGCAGTCCCAATATTGTCGCTGGCCGAACAGAACATGATGATTTTATTCTTTTTTGCTTCGTCAATAGCTCCGCGCAGTCTTCCGATAGCAATCGGTTCTGTCGTACCCTCCTTATTATCTTGATTGCTAGCCATTGCCTTTATGGACCATGACATAGAGATAATGTCCACATCTTCTTCAATAGCACCTAGGATAGCATTGGCGGCGCTTTCAGGATATATTGTTCGTCTATTGTTGGATTGGTAAGACTTGAGCTTCATCACGTATAACTTCGCCCAGGGGTTTATTCGAAGTATCATGTTTGCCATCAATGTACCGTGTTCGTCATCAGTTGACTCGTACCAAGGGCGATCGCAGTAATTCGCACCCGTTATGTCGACCAGTTCTTTACCATTTAGCTTATACTGATCAAGCTTGGTCATATTGACTCCGTCATCGATTAGAGCTACCCGGAAATTGCAGTACTGTTAGAAACCCTGGGTAGTGTGAAATAAAAAACTTTAGAAATCAAGAGAGCACCAACTTTCATGCGTGGAAGTTCAAAGACCATATTATTATCAATAAATGATCGATGTATGTCCATCAGAGCATGCCTGAACTTTTCCATATGTTCCACCCATATATGTTGCCGAGGGCCCTCTGTTGGGACTGGCCTTCTTGTGTTATTTTCTGAATCTTGTCCGCTGGCCTCGTTGCGCGGTTCACACACAACTAACTGGAGCTTCTTTTTGGTGCTTTCCTCTATCCTCTTTTTGAAATTTTCTACTGATGTGTGCATTCTGCCCAACGTCTCTAATCCCTGTACAAGTACATCTCCGTTGTTAGAGGTTAAGAGTAGTGGAGAAGTCATATAGTTGTGAAGTACATACCGGAGAGGGATACACACCTCGTAGAATAATATGATAGGTCTAATAAATACTCGTAAAGAAACGACTCTAATTAAGTAACATGACGACAGTCTAATAGCATAGCAAGTAATAATAACTAAATTTGGTTGCTTAATAATAATTTCCAATCGAGTTTTACCACTTTTGTGCCAACCCCTGACTTGAATTGTCTTTGTCGCTAGTTCTGAACCCCTTAACCCAAAGATGACTTGTGAAACAATATCCTTATTTCTTCCGAAAGCAATTTTCTCTTAATTTTGTTCAATATTTCAGTTTCAATGCCAATTAATAGACAATAGCGCTTGTATTAAAAGCTAACCATGTGTTCCCATTATCATGCTGTGCCTCGGTGCTCTTAGAACACTACGTCTATTAGATCAATATATTTCAGAACCAATTCACGGCGGAGAAGGAGGTGTTATGGCTACGCCAGTCAGTATGTCACTTCACTATACCTGCCCGAAGATGTATCATAATAACATTCATGTGTTTGGTTCGGCTGTTCGTGCGAGTCGGGCAAACCGAGCTTAATGGAGTGTTTGAGGCTGCGAAAAAATGCGTATCAATTTTAGCGATTCTGAACGTTAAACAAATATTTAGGAGCAACAGGATGCCGATAGAAATAACGATAGGTGATCTAATCTAATCTTATCTTATCAATAGATAATCGATAAGATTTATCGCGGGGCATTAGCAGATTAGTAAGACCCTATTCAGATAACTAAGCTTTGCTACTAACCTGAAGTGTTAGTGGAACCTTAAGACCGGCACTGACGCAATGACTTACGGTGCTTTCTCTCACGGATTATTTGGTGTGTTTCAAATAAACCTTATTTCTGTATATAAATTCAAATGAACCGGAATTTCTAAGGCTGTGGGTTGTTCTTGCAATATTTTACTTAATTGCTTTCTCTTTTTCCTTACTTGGCATTAGCTATGATAGGCGACGGTGTCGATCACTCGCAAGACGCGAATGAAAACCAATATAATGATGACAGGTTTTCTAGCGCTAGTGATGATGATAATAACGCAGTTGAGGTACGTTTAGTCTCTCAATATAATCTATAATCTTGCGAAAATACCTCTAATCTCTTTTTGCGAAGGTTACTTTTGATTCAGGGAATCCTTACCGGAGGAAAAGCTCTTTAATACATAGTGAAGCAACCACAGCCCAGTTCGGGACATCTAGATCTAGGCCATCGGCAACTCAATGTTTAGTACATCAATTTCTTGAGGGCCATAGGTATGATCGGCCCAAAAGTGGTAACCGAAATCATGATAAGCATAAACATGAGGAAATCACTGACGAAGTTGGCCTGGATGAATACGTCGAACCTAAAGGGAAAGCTGCTAGCCAGCCTGAGCATGCATCTACAACAGAAGCGGACAGTGATGCTAGCAATAATATAGGACAAGTTGATGAGAAAGCATGGAGGAAAGCCGTCAAAAAAGGCAAAACTGGCTTAGATCATCATCAGAACCTCAACAGTCGACTACTTACAAAAAAACAGCTGACCGATATGGCCTGGGGGGTCCGGGAGCTTAGTAGAAGATTAGGAAATATAAGGCTCAAGTTTAAGGCCAGGAGCATCTTCCTCTTAACAAAAGCGTATGACCATGAATTAATACCGAAGACGAGACAGATTGCGAAATGGCTCCTTAGTAAAGATAGGGACGTTCGGTATACTGTCTACGTGGAAGAAAGCCTGCAGAGCAACAAAGGATTCGATGCGCCTGGATTGTTACAGGAACTTCGCCAAGAGTATATGGACGCCGGTCAGATGGACACCAATACTCCGAAAGGCGCATTGGACAGCCGCTTACGTTACTGGAACGAGAAGATGTGCCATGTGCGACCACATACATTTGACTTCATTATTACCCTTGGAGGTGATGGAACAGTGTTGTATGCTAGTTGGCTATTTCAACGAATAGTACCACCAGTACTTAGTTTCTCGCTGGGTAGTCTCGGATTTCTCACCAAGTTCGACTTCAATGAGTACCAGGACATACTTTCTACAGCCTTTAGAGACGGTGTAACAGTAAGCCTGCGTCTACGATTTGAGGGAACAGTAATGAGAAGTCAAAAGAAATCGAGCCAACTAGATCAAATTAACTACGTGGACGAGAAAGGGGATCATCGCAAGCGAGATCTTATAGAGGAACTCATCGGTAAAGAGCGGGATGATGAACATACTCACAGACCAGACGGCACTTATGAGATCCTCAATGAGATCGTGGTGGATAGGGGCCCGAATCCAAGTAAGTCTTACGTGCAACTTCATCAACCGAACTGGCCCGAAGCTAATCATCGGTAGCAATGTCCAATACCGAAATCTTCGGGGATGACGAACACTTCACATCTGTGCTCGCAGACGGGATATGCGTATCGACGCCTACGGGCTCAACAGCCTACAATCTCGCAGCAGGCGGTTCGCTCTGCCATCCAGAAAACCCGGTAATGCTTGTGACTTCGATATGTGCGCACACGCTATCGTTCCGGCCTATAATCTTACCAGATACGATCGTGCTGCGCATCGGAGTGCCGTACGACGCGCGCACCAACAGCTGGGCCAGCTTCGATGGTCGCGAACGCGTCGAACTCCTCCCCGGCGACTACGTAACTATTAGCGCCAGTCGGTTCCCGTTCGCCAGCGTCCAGCCTCAAGGACGAAGAAGTGAGGATTGGGTCAAGAGTATCAGCGCCAAGCTCGGCTGGAACACGAGGCAGAAACAGAAAAATGAGGGATATGGACGGTGGGATCATTAGATGGGGTAGAGGTTGGCTGGGTTTTAAGAGGGAGTTCTAGACTGGTTTGGTATCTAGAGCTAAGGGTAATAAAGGGGCATCTAATTATACGAAGCCTCGAGTTTATAAGGTATTATCCGATGTGGAGCCCGGCAGTTGCTGTTGTCGTGCAGTAAAGGAATCAGTGAGGCTCTTGGCAATCTCTTATCACATCTTGGCTCTGTCGCAGCTTTCGGCGTGTTGAAACGCCCGCTCTTTCGTGCATTACGTATACTTCTTCCTGTGGGGGTAATTTGAGTATCGCATCATTGTCAAGAGTACCTAATGTAAGCATTTTGGTTACTTGAGGCATTTTGATGTGTGCCTAATGCGGTGGTGATACAGGGGAGGTAGGTAGTAGATCGACTCCTTATTGCCAGGAAGCCTCAGCACCCTTTATTAGAAAATTCTCTTCATGAGCGACTTAATTCGAGTTACGGCTTTATACAAGTCTAAAACACCATAACACTTAGCCAAATCGACGTCAGGACACATCTTTCTCATCCGGTCTCGACCTGTCAAGTAAACAGGCCGGTCGTTTTGAATTTTCTATACTACCGAGTAATACATATTTTATAGACCTAAGCAATCGCTCTTGCACCAGAGAGATCACCGCAACCAAAAATTAAATAGGAAACATATGCCGCACGTATATGGTGAATCATCCCAAGCGTAATCCCCTGCCCCTGGACTCCCATACATGGTATCAAAAAAGAAAAACGATGAAAAATGCCGCTGTGCAAATGTAATAGACGGAGAGCAAACAAACAGTAGTTGTTACATTATAACCGTAATATTACTCCTGCGCTTCATCGATCGCGGCATCGTCTTCGTCTTCTGTTGTCTCAACAAACGTCATCGTGAAGCCTTGCGCATCATCCACGTTTAGGTTGATGGCATCGATGGTATCGGAAGAAGAGATTTCTCGCTTGGCCACTGTTGGGACTTTCGGGATAGGGAGGGAGCGAGTTTCGAATCCACTAGATGTCTGGATAGCTTTCAACAGGGTGCTAGTTAGTATGCTATGTAGTACCGAGAGTAAGAGTTGAAGTTTGGGTTCACTCACTAGCAGGGACACCGCGCTTGACATACATGCGGGTGACCTTGGTTCGTCGGCGCGGCTGCGAAGAAGATTCATCGCGCTTAGCAGCAGCCCTGGCACCCTCGCCAACAGTGCCGCCATTGTTATCAACAATGATACCGACACCAGCACCACCCTCGCCAGTGCCAAGTTGGATCAAGGGTCCCTTGGTTAAGGCCGCCTCGGCAAATGTAAGAGCCCTGTCAAAGCCAGCTAGATCACGCTTGGCCTTGGGAGACTCGGAATCTCGAGGGGCGATCTCCTTTCCCATGCCTTGTAGGCCTGTTATTTGAGCAGCTTAAATCTTGTTAGTTTTGACCTTTAAAGAAGGCTTAATATCAATAGATAACTCACCTTGTTGCTCCAAGTTGGGGTCTACATTAGTAGTAGTAGGCGCGGCAGAAGCTTCAGGAACCTCGGGGGTTTCGGGAACTTCGGGGGCTTTAGGAGTCTCGGCAACGGGGCTCGGATTGCTTTGGGCGGCCACAACACCACCTTCGTCCACCGGGGCAACACTGCTTGCGGCTACAGGTGCGGAAGCAGCATTTTGAGTGGCGCCTCCAGTCGACCCGGCGGCAGCGTTAACTGCTGCACCCTCCAAGGCGTTCATCAAGCTCGTCACATCTTGACCTCCACCGAATGAAATCTCACCATCACCAACCACCCTATAGATTGATTAGATATCTAGAATAACCAGGTAGGCGGGTGCGCAGGCTAGTACATACAATGCAGGGGAATAAGCGCCAAGGTTAATGTTTAGAGGAAGAGCGCTGACGCTGGCGAGGAAGCCGGCAACGGCAATCATACGATAGCTGACCATCTTGGCTAATATTTCTTGGAAGATGTTCTTGGGTTATCTTGGCTGAGTATGCTTTAAATATAAAATAGTGAAAATAGGTATTAGAGTAGTATAAAACGACCAGCGGCGACCAGCGAAAGAAGGCAATGACAGAATTAATCTGCAAATAAAAATTAAGGAAGAGACCGGAAAACGAGAATGTTCGGACGACGACTTGAGCACAGCTGAGTATCTCCAAATCAACATCTCGGGGCCAACTAAGGCCTTCATATATGTCGACAACTGAGAATCCTAGATCATCGGCAATTCCAAGTTATCGAGTCGGGACCTCGAAAGCCAAGCGGCCGAGGCAGGTGAACGACATGGGATACCCATTCTCCTCCGGTGCCAAGGTGTTTCTTCTTCGACATCTATGTTAAAAATATCTCTGGCAAGGTGTTTTGTGTATCAAGTTAGCGGAGTGAAGAGATCTCTTCGTAGACAAGGACCAAGGCTAGTTGTTCGCCATTAGATGCGGAGACCAAACAACGTTATTAACGCTCGAAACGTGACTGGTGGACAGGGATCGAAAGAAACAAGATCACGGATGCAGTTATGACCGTTCTAAGTGCGTAACAATGAGGCTCTTGGCTGAACCTGCCAAGTGCTGTAGGTCAGTCAATGCGACGGACTAGGAGGGTACGGGCATAGTATACATAGTAAGAGGCAAAAGACGAATGTGTGAGATGAGTATCAATCTTGGGTCTTGAGACCTGCCAAGCGACCAGGATCCCATCTGCCCCCGCGCCCAGTGCGTTCCAAGACTAACAAGCTTTCTCCGCCGCGTAATCCACTGATTCGTTCGACTTGGGGAAGCTAGCGATGATCGAGATAAGCCTCCAGACGCTTTGACTTAACATTGAAGATGGCTAATACTGCCAAGAATACAAAATGGCGACCTGTAAAATTGAGTAACATTTTGGCCCGGAGATGACAGTAAAAGTTGCTTTTGAAGATTAGTTGAGGTAACGAATATTGGCAAGTCGAAGAATTGTATTACCTAGTGGCATATATTATCAACCGTAGATCATACAAACCGTGTCTATTTTTGTTTATTATCCATACCGTCTAGACTATTAAGAAACCCCTAGTTATCGAAGATTATTAGTATCGTCTCAAACTTGACGGAAACGTGAGACTTGACACCTTAAGAAAAGTAATTGACGTCTGGACGAAAAGGGATCTTTGGTAATGGGAAGCTTAATTCATACCAAGGAGTACCGCCAAGTGAGTCAAAGTCGGATCAGCTAGGTTAGTAGAGTAACCTAGTAGGTTATCCACTTCCACATCGAGACCAACGATGAAGCAAAGCTAAGACATAGCGTTGAAAGAATTGACCAATGAAAACGACTACGTACCTAGGTAACTTAGTTTGGATACCTCTCTTTAAGGTAATGAGAAGTAACACACGGAAGACTCCTTTTTATGCCATATCTTGGATAGTTGAATAATTTGTATAAGTTGATGCTGTGTTCACTATTTTGACTGTTTAAGTCTACAGAATAAAAAGAATCAATATTACTAAGATATATCGCCCACTGTGGGGAATTGGGGTAAACCTGGGACGTACTGGACGTACCAGCGTACACACAATTTAGCCTCAATGTGGCGTTGCAAACAGTGCTCTGCATATGTATTTACCTGGAGATGCACGTCTTTGGTTTACAACATCCCAAAATCCCAATTAAACTACTTAATATCATTTTGTCTTAGGGAAGCCCAGCCTCGTAAATTCTAATATTTTTTTATTATGATGCATGAGGCTAGTTTCTTACATGTCCGATTTGAGAGTTGATTGAGCTGAGATGCAGAGGTCATTGGCCAAGACAAACAGCCCGAGTTATACAAAAAGAGGCACAGTGGCTGCATCTCAATCCTACGTATGCGTCTATTTACCTTGGATAATTTGAAGATCCATACGCGAGCTGCAATCCCACTTCTTCAGCTTGCGTACCACTTTGGTCGGTGGCTGCCTATTCAATCATAGGTATGTAAATAATGACCCTTATGACTTTGTCAATTGCTTCTCAGCTTCAAGTGTATTTATAAGATATCCGTAACCGTTTTATGGGCTGGACTATTTACCTAAGTCATCAGCTTTTTTTTCGCGGGCAATCGCCGACGTAAGAGAATATGACGTCTTTGAAATCGTCCATGTCGCCCTTCTTAGGGGAAAAGCAAGACGATGACCGAGCAGCTGTTCAATTACCTCGAAATGAACCAAGCTGGGGTTGGCGCCGTCTGAGTGCGGTAGTCTTAACCGTCATATCCGGTATTTTAATCGTTGGCCATTTCGGACATGGCCCGATTCACTACGGCTACCGCCTTCCGGACCCGGGAAGTCAAGCGCCGCTAGAGCCTCCCGATGGATGGACAGAATGGTCCAGTGTAAGCTCTTCTGAATAATACTGCGAACTCGCTATAATAGAGTGATCATTGACACGGCCGTCTCTATATGAAATAGATCGTACCGAGCGAGAAGCTCATCTGGCAGCCGTGCTTTGCGATATACGGTGACGGGTTCAAGTGCGCTCGGCTGACCGTACCTATGGATTATCACCGACCGCTAAACCAGTCGGCGGACAATCCGAAAGTGCACATAGCTCTGGTCTTAAAGCCCGGTATTAACCGTACTAATGACCCATCATCCTACTCGGAATCACCACTACTCGTTAATCCCGGTGGTCCCGGAGGTAGCGGAGCTCTTTTCGCCTTGTCTTCGGCGCAAGCGCTCCAAGCAGTCATCGGGGGAGATCGTGACGTTATCGGCTTCGATCCACGTGGAGTCGGTGCTACTACGCCTAAGGCGGATTGTTTCGCAGTTTCTAATGATTCTTTTGGGCTTGACGGACGCAATGTTGCTTTGATGAACCGGCTGGCCTGGATTGCATCAGGTCATATCATCGGTCTCGTCAACTCAAGCAATGTCGCACTCGACAAGCTTGACGTTAGGTCAAGAGCACTTGCTAAGCTTTGTAAGAGAAGGGATGAGGCTGAGGGGGATAATAGCATCTTCCGGTATTCCAATACTCCGAATGTAGCGCGAGATATGCTCTCCATCGTTCATGCTTGGGATGAATGGAGATCAGGTTCCGACGCCAAGTCCACGGAAGAATCAGAGATTGTAGATGAAACGCAGATCAACTCTAAAATAGAGTCCAATGATAGTACCAAGGGGAAGCTTGTTTACTGGGGTTTCTCTTACGGTACACTCCTCGGGGCCACATTTGCCTCCATGTTTCCAGACAAAGTTGGTCGAGTTATTCTAGATGGCGTTGTGGATGCCGACCAATATGTCAGCCCGATGTTAGGAGACGGTATCCTTGATGCTGATGCGATATGGGAACAGTTCTTTACTTATTGTGCTGAGGCAGGACCAAAGTGTGAGTTTTATCGGTTCGGAGACAACCCCGGAGATGTCAAGGCACGCTTTGATTATATCATGAACTGGCTGGAGAAAGAGCCTGCGATTGTCTTGCCTTCGGATTCAAATTTGCCCGTCTTGATAACGGCTGGCGATTTCAAACTCATCATATTTTCAGCATTATACTACCCAGTTGTTATATTCCCTTCCGTGGCTATACTTCTTAAAGCCTTCATGGACAACCAACTTGACAAGATGGTAGCCAATCCGGCGCCGGGGATGTTGTGTCAAAACTTAACACTACCTCAATGGCCAGATGATGCTCAGAAGGTAATCGCGTGTAGTGACAAGCGATATAAGGTAAGATTTATTTAACCTCCAGTGACTTCTTGAGGGACAATCCTAACATCTAGTAGCTCGATGAAGATTCCGACGCGCTTCAGAGGCGTTTTGAGAAGATGGCTTCATATTCCTCATTCGCCGATGTTGTAAGTAACACCTAGTCTCAATATCCAGAGAAATATCTAACAGATATCTTAGTGGATGGGTGTCGACCTCAATTTAGGTTGCAGCAGGTGGGAAATTGAGGCAAAAGATCCGCCGATGCGATGGGACGACCATCCGATTCATAAACCAAAACCCATTGAAACCAGCTTTCCCGTCTTGTTCCTATCGAATCATCTCGACCCTGTTACGCCTCTGCACCATGCTCTAAAAATGGCGCGCAAGTTTTCAGAAGCGAGCCTCGTAGAGCAAAAAGGAGAAGGCCACTGTACCATCTCGTGCATGTCACTCTGCACTATAGGACATATCCAAGCATATCTTAACCGCGGAATTGTGCCGCCCGTACCAAAATACGACTCGGATGATAAAGGCGAATGGACAACTTGTGAATGCCATGAAAAGCCTTGGAAGTCGCTTAATGATATAGCTGTAATGCGAAACTCGAATGGTGACTCCCAGTTGGAAACCGACGGCGAAAGTGAACTACTAGTTGGAAAGACAGCTGAGGAGTTGAAGATCATGGAGGCTTATCACCACCTACGAAACCGATTTGTCGAATTTACGATATCTCAGCAACAATTCGGAGACCGAAATCCGCTCCGGACTGCGCATCTAAATAACTTGGCTTTCATGAACAAGGAGCAGCAAGCTAGCTGTAGTAAGCTATAAAGGCCATTGATCGGGACTTAGGGCCACATCCCGACATGTTGGTGCCATGATAAATAATCCTGCCTTGGCTTTTACAAGTGTATAAATCCAGCGCCACTCCATTAATTTTAATTTTCGATGAACTATACCAGAAAATACTTAGACTTCAGTAATTGTTACGTATTCAGCTGAGGATAAGATATGTCAAATATATTATACAAAGGCATTCTTTAGCATAATGTCCATGACTCTTTACCTTCGTGGTGAAAACGATACGCCCTTGTAGAGAGGCCCCTCAGATGACATCCCTTGCCTTAGGTACATATTGCACCGCCGTAACATTGCATGTTATTGGCTGCGTATACGTTTACGAGGATTTAGAAATAAAGTTGGCAGTGATGGATCGAGTCTTGGTCCCAACACTTACCTCGCAATTGATTTATTAAGATGCCTGAGATTCCTAGCATTTAACCTATTCACCATTAGCAAGCTTTGATAAATCATCCAACTTACTCAAGCAAATATGTTAACATTAGGGTTCCTCGTCACCTTCTTCAACCGTGACAAGGCCGCTACAGCCGAGCCGGGAGAAGAGTCACATACATTTACGGCGAGGTGTCACTGCGGGAACATACAATACTCGGTCTTACTCCCAGCTTCGAGTCTACCATTGCACGCATATATCTGTTCATGCACATTATGCCGATACTCACACGGCACTCTCGGTAGCTTCCACGTCTCGCTAACGCAGGGCGTGGCGCCGGAGTGGACCAACGGCGCCGTCAACCTGTCCGTATACAAGGCCCAGGGCAGCGGTCCCGGCGGCCACGGACAGCGTTGGTTCTGCCCCACTTGCGGAACTCATAATGGGCATTACGAGCCCTGGGCTATGCAGTGGATCGCAGACATTGCGCTTTTTGACGAGCCGAGCTTCTGGGAGATGAAGGCTTTAGCGTTTCCAAAGTCCCCCGGGGACGGCGGCTTGATATCCTGGATTTCGAGCCCGGTCAGTAAGGACTTAAAGATATTCACCGTGGACCGTGATATCGCGCCCGATAATGAGCTCGAAATTGGCGAGGATGGCGAGAAGAGACTGCGCGTGGAGTGCCAGTGCGGCGGGGTTTCCTTCACGATCGGAAGGCCGTCAGACGTAGTAAGGAACGACAAGTTTATGAGCCGATGTATCGCACCAAGAAACCCGCAGAAATGGAAAGCATATCTAGATTTTGATAAAGAAACTCGGCGGCTCTCTAGCGCTTATTTCATGCCTTGGGCTTTGGTCCCGCGGATCTCGCTAGAGCCGGAGGTGCCGCCGAATCTGCTCATCGGGACAATGAAGACATATAAGGTATCGGAGAAAACCACAAAGGGATTCTGTGGTCGCTGTGGCGCCATGGTATTCCTCCAAAATAAAGACAGGAACCCCTCGGAACAGAGCGAGGTGCTTAGTATTGCAGTAGGTCTCTTTAGAGCTCCCGAGGGAGCAAAGGCGACAGACTGGGTTGAATGGAGAGCTGTGCCTGAACGAGAAATTGAAAAGGCGGAATTCGATTCTGAGTTTATGAATGCTATTGTAGAAGGCCAGAGAGCATGGACAGTACAAGAATATGGAGAAGTATCGGACTTTGATATTATATAGGAACGTGATATAAGATAACTACAAGTTTCTGTCATATCTCTTAAGGCTCTTAAGACTCTTTTTATGTTGTGTCACCTTGCAACCTTGTATACTAGAAGATAATTGACCAATCAATGGTATTCAATTACACCCTTCATTAAGTACATATATGGCGCTGCGACTAAATTCCGAGAATGTGGGCATCAATATAAACTTTAATCGGTATGGGTACTTCAAATATGGAACCTGAAGTCTCTTGTTCTAGCCCAAAGAATCCTCTTATCAAGTACAGATACTCTATAAAAAATGATACGATAAGGAATTGTGGATTTAAGTAGCCAATCAACACGACGTAGCAACTTCCAATGAAATTTTTCCAGCTGGTGGGAGCTTTTTTTTTAATCTTCAATATCGCTTGGTCCTTTTATTCCCCCCCCCCTCCACGACTCTCATCACCAGTCCCTTTCTTTCCGTGTGAATTGGTTTTCTTTTTTTCGGCTGCAGGGTAAAATCAATTCAACATGTCGGCGTTTACGCGCACCCTGGCGCCATTCTTGCGCGCCTCTCGCCACTCCCTCAGATCCGGCAGCATCGCCAACCCGTTACAATTTGCTGTGCGACAGCAAAATGTAGCCGCAGCCCTCAACATCACCCGTTCATACGCAGCCGTCTTCGAGAGGACGAAGCCTCACGTAAACGTTGGTACTATTGGTCATGTCGATCACGGCAAGGTATGTTGAGAGCGTATATCAAATTACACGATATTAAATTATATATCTATATATATATTCTAGATTACCCCGCCAACTCTAACTAATTGTCTTGAATTAGACTACCTTATCTGCTGCTATCACGAAGAGACAGGCTGAGAAGGGATTGGCAAACTTCCTAGAATATGGCGCTATTGACAAGGCGCCAGAGGAGAGGAAGCGTGGTATTACCATTTCTACTGCACACATCGAATACTCGACGGATAACCGACATTACTCTCACGTCGACTGTCCCGGTCACGCCGATTACATCAAGAACATGATTACTGGTGCCGCCAACATGGACGGTGCTATCATTGTCGTAGCTGCTTCCGATGGTCAAATGCCCCAGACCAGAGAACATCTTCTTCTCGCCCGTCAGGTTGGTGTCCAGAAGATCGTCGTCTTCGTCAACAAGGTCGATGCCATTGAGGACCCCGAGATGTTGGAACTGGTCGAGATGGAGATGCGTGAGCTGCTCACCCACTACGGCTTCGAAGGCGATGAGACCCCTGTCATTATGGGTTCTGCCCTGATGGCCATGGAAGGCAAGCGACCCGAAATCGGTGTCGAGAAGATCGATGAGCTCCTAAAGGCCGTCGACGAGTGGATCCCTACCCCCCAGCGTGACCTCGACAAGCCCTTCCTGATGTCCGTCGAGGACGTCTTCTCCATTGCCGGACGTGGAACTGTCGCCTCCGGCCGTGTTGAGCGAGGTATCCTGAAGAGGGATGCTGAAGTTGAGCTGATCGGCAAGGGTTCCGAGATCATTAAGACCAAGGTTACCGATATCGAGACCTTCAAGAAGTCCTGCGAGGAATCCCGAGCTGGTGACAACTCCGGTCTGCTCCTGCGAGGTATCCGACGAGAGGATATCAAGCGAGGTATGGTTATCGTCAAGCCCGGCACCGTCAAGGCCCACACCAAGTTCATGGTCTCCCTATACGTCCTGACAAAGGAGGAGGGTGGCCGACACACCCCCTTCGTCGAGAACTACCGACCCCAGATGTACCTACGAACTGCCGACGAGGCTGTGGCCCTTCACTTCCCCGAGGATGCTGAGGACAGGTCCAGGGCCGTCATGCCCGGTGACAACGTCGAGATGGTTGCTACTCTACACCACCCCATCGCCATCGAGGTCGGTCAGCAAGTCAACGTCCGCGAAGGTGGCCGAACCGTCGCAACCGGCATTATTACACGAATCATTCAATAAACCCGATCACGGACTGTTTTAGGGAGGGGCTGGTCCATGTGTGCAAGAGGGATAGAACGGGCATCTTCGGCTTTGCTTTATCTTAGCTGGCATGGGGGAAAATCTTGGCGTTGCTCTCTTGTGTATAAGGGATTTCGGATTGTATTATATTTGGAGCCCATGTACACTTGACTTCCAGTCCCCGTGGCTCGTTGAATCTCCCCTCTGCTTACGAAACGTCTCTTTCCCGTAATGTAACTCTAGAGCAATGATGAAATGGTAAAAAAATGTTTGAACTACCTATGAGCTACGTACACGCGTGATGCGTTTTTGATGCATAATGTAATCCCAGAGATTAGAGATTCGGGAATAACTACTATGTAAATCTTCATGCTAATATGTTAGTGTGCCCCTTTAATAATATGAACAACTATACTAGGGGTCTAGTTTGACGAAGTTCATAGTTGGTTACTACCTTAACCCTGTTTATTGTCTGATCAAGACTGGAATTGGACCCCTGGGATGAAGGAAGGCTGTTGGATTTTATCACGAGAGCCGTCTACTAGTTACAAGCCTAGCTCGAAATATCCAAGTGATAGACACGCTAAGCGGGTTATAACACGGATTTTACGTGGTATTTCAGCCCTAGCAGGTCTTCTTTAAATTTTTAACGAATTGCCGAGACTTTTTTTTTTGGTTTTGTTGCCGACGACTACCTAGGTATTCTACTCGGGTCATATACTGGAATCGCCAAGATTTGGAGCCATAGGTGGTGGAAGGACTTAAGGGTTAAAACTGGTCTATTGAACTATCTCATGGCCTACATGTACTTAACTGGGTTAATTGTTTTGCATGATAGTTGAGGAGATGGATGCTTCTAGGCAGACTATGCATTCCTATGGCCTTGAGTATCCCTGGCCCCTATTTTCGTTCACACGAAAGGACACCTCGATGGATGTATGCATGTGTGTAAATATCGCAGAGCAGTTCCACATCTCCAAGCAGGGTGTGTATTTATAGATAAATCACACCACTATTCCCGATAATAAGATACTCGCCAAGGACCCTTAGAATTCTGCGTGGCTTTTGATCTTTCGTGGGCTTCTGCCGTTGGCGTACCCTAGTACGGCGTCCCGCGTACATACCTCATATATAGATTCAGGGGAGGGAGCCCTCCACGTGGGTATCCAATTCTCGTTCTTTAGAAGTCACTGCTCCTAATGGAAGATGGCCGATCACGCCTCGTACATATCTGAAAAAGACTTCGACCCACCTGTCGACGTTTACATGAGATGTAGCACTCGTGTTCTACTCTAGTGTCGCTGCTGCCCAACTAACAAGGGGCTCGATACCTGGGTAGTCCACATCGTTAAATATCGTAGCGTCTTGACTAACGGCGGTACTGGAGCTAGGTCCTGCTTTTGAATTGTGATGGCCAAATCCCGTTGAAATAATAATAATAATAATAATCCCCTGGTAACCATTAGCCGGTTTGGGGTATATCATAGCGTAGAACGCGAGGTAGGGGACAATGATATCGACGAGACTATCGATAATGAATTATAAAGGAGGAATTCGTCGGGTATTCTTTCGTACGTGAAGCGCCGTGGTTAGCCAGGAGGTGCTTTTTGGTTAGCCGGGCGGGCGAACTTTTATGATAAAGCGAGTAGTTGTGTATTAAAAGTTGTTCCTGACGATAGCCAAGCTTCTCTTTATTACCGAGGATATAAAGCTTCCCTTATTCCCGGGTTAGCTTTTACCCTTAGGTAAGCCCAGACAAGCTCTCTGACAAGCTTCGGCGGCGAATAGGTAGCGTCGCCGAGACCACTAAGAAAGAGGGTCCCCTTCCCATCGGCTACTGCATCTTGGCTAGCTAACCGGATCCATTATGTCACGGCTCGAGCTTCCATGCCTTAACCCTGCCCTAATCGATCTCGAAAAACACGCGCGTCGTGAACCACGTACATAGTTGTACATAGTCTATGTATTAGACATATGTAGGAATGTCCAAAGCAACGCAACGCACTGATCTATCGTATATATCACATAGACGATGTAACTGCACTTAGCCCATCGACAGAACGTGCTAGACGTAGCCGGTAATGATGATGAGCTTTAAGCAGACAATAAGCGTGGATGAGATCATAAGCTTGGAGACCCTCTCTTTGATGGTTTATCACCCGAAGTCGCTGTTGGAGAAGAGAGGTATTTTAAACCGCCAAGCCTTGTCATATTGCTGTAGAAATATTAGGGAGCCTGGGAGCACATGTAAAGAAGAAGGATCACCTAACCTAGGGCATTACCGACAAAAGTAATAGCTATGGTAGGTACATATCCCCGTCATCCTATTTATCAGAGGCCCACAACGAGATCGTTAGCGGCACCGGTTCAGCCCGTTTCTGCGTTTGTCGATAAGATACCGTTAAGTACTTGTTTTGAACCATTTCTACTTTTGAGTATATGTCGAAAAGAAAAGACAAGCAAAAATAGTCGACGACAATAATCTTGAAAAAAAAAACCGCCAGTTCGTCTCATATTAATAGCTGCATCCCATCTTACGTTAGTGTTCTAATGTTCAAAAACCCTTACGGAGTCGCACAGGGGAAAAATGAAACCTCAAACCGGTAAATGAGACTTTATCGATCGATTGACTGGCTTCCGTTCTCTTGGGTCTTACCGAATCGAGTAAGCCCGGTATTGAGTTTTTTTGTATTTTTGTTTCTATGGGTCCCTAGCTTTTTAAGCTTGCAAAGAGTGGGACCCCTGGAATTTGCGGCTCGAAGAAACGCCCATGATCGAATGTGATTCAACCCTTACGACGCCACTTTTCCCCTGCTTTTAAAATGTCTGCTCATAATGATGAGTTTTTTTTACAGGAGATATTTTGCTGTTAAAGTAAACTATCACGTAGATCCTTTTTTAGTTATCAATTGTTTATGGTTCCTAATTGACCTCAGAATGCTTTCAACTTCCTCAATTGCCACGTTCCGGCCGTGGAAATCGAGCCCCGTGTGGCCCCGATCCTTGTGGGTCCCGGCCCTGTGGATCCTTCGCAACACCGAAATTCGCCGAATCATCTCCTTCCTCTACCAATATCTAACTTAACTCGCGCTCTCGCGCCTGAAAAAAAACTAAAAAGCTAAAATGTGATCCAAATTAAGCCTTACCAGGTTTACAGCTTTGCCATTGTCAACAACCAAACTAGCCTATCCCCTCTCGCATAACAATGGGTATATACTCTAATAGGAAATCTCGGTGGCTCCGCCATCGGGCAGCATCCAGTTCTTTCTCTTATGTACTTCTAAAACTTCCTACCACCTCGTGTAAACCAATAGGATCCCTCAACCAGACGATCCATTACCCGAAGGCTTCTGGCCTAGAGTCTCAAGGGTCATGTCCTTCTCATATATAAAGGATGGATCCCGCCCCCCCTTTGCGCCTTTGGTAGAGATCCATAAACATTCCCACACTCGTCGTGTGACATCCTGAGATACCTTTCCTTTTAAATTCGTCAAGGATATAAGGATATAATAAGTCAACATGGACCCCTACGAAGTGCCCACTACGGAGGGCCCGTCTATACAACAACATAATAACAATCAAACCGATCGAGTCGACCAAGCCGATCAAGTCAAGTATGGGTCAATCATCCCCGGCTCGTTGGCCCGCAAACCTACAAACCCATTAGCTCGAAGTTCCACCAAGGAGACAATTCGAGATCCGAACTTGGATGTCAACTTACCCTACCGAACACTCTCCGGCGACGCCAACCTTTCAGAATACACCACAGAAACACCCAGCGGTCAGATACCCGGCCCGGTGGAACCAGATGGCGAGCGCCGCTACAAACTCGTCACCTTCGTGCCAAACGACCCCGAGAACCCTAAGAACTGGTCGAAGGGATATAAGTGGTACTGCACCATGGTCGTAGCCATAACATGTTTCGTCGTAGCCTTCTCGTCCAGCGTCGTCACGCCCGACATTGCCGGCGTAGCCGAAGAGTTCGGCGTCAGCGACGAGGTTGCGCTGCTAAGTATCACATTATTCGTCGTAGGATTCGGTGTCGGTAAGTGAAAGCCCCTGAACCAATTGATAATACAAAAAGCGACTAACAGTCAAAAAAGGACCTATGATATTCGCACCGCTATCGGAAATCTATGGACGACGAATTATCTATGGAACAACATTACTAGTCGCCGTGGTCTTCATTATCCCCGGTGCTGTTGCGAAGAACATCGCTACGCTCCTAGTCGCCCGAGCTATTGATGGCATCGCCTTCTCTGCGCCTATGACGCTTGTCGGTGGTACCCTAGCCGATCTCTGGAGATCCGAGGAGAGAGGTATTCCAATGGCTGCCTTCTCTGCTGCCCCCTTTATTGGCCCTGCTGGTAAGTACTCTTACAATCAGACCTATTCTGGCGTCTTTGATCGCTAACACATAACCATAGTTGGTCCCCTTGTCGGTGGTTTCCTATCTGATGCCGCTGGCTGGCGTTGGCTTTACTGGATCCACTTGATCCTCGCCTTTATCGTCTGGGTCTTAATCACATTCACCGTCCCCGAGACGTACGCGCCCACGATTCTAGCCAAGCGAGCCAAGAAGATGCGCGAGCAAACCGGCCAAGCAGACTACGTTACAGAAGAAGACATCGACAAGCGACCCCTCGCTGAACGACTAGCTATTTTCTTGATTCGGCCTTTCCAGCTTCTCTTTGGAGAATTGATTGTCTTTTTAATCAGTCTGTACATGTCCGTGCTATACGGTCTTCTGTACATGTTCTTCGTTGCCTTCCCTATCATCTTCCAGGAAGGCAAGGGATACTCTGCCGGTATTACCGGTCTTATGTTGTAAGTAGACACTTAACCCCTATTTAGCCTCCCAGTTCAATCGCTAACTTAGATCCAATAGCATTCCCCTAGCTGTCGGTGTCATATGCTCGGCTATCTGTGCCCCCCTAGTTAACGCACACTACCGAAAACTCATCGCTAAACACAACGGTCTCCCCCCGCCGGAGCTACGTCTTATCCCCATGATGTGCTCCTGCTGGTTCATCCCGCTAGGTCTGTTCATCTTCGCCTGGACATCGTACCCCCGTCTCATCTGGGTCGGCCCCGCTCTCGGCGGCTTCCCCGTCGGTTTCGGCTTCATCTTCCTATACAACAGCGCCAACAACTACCTCGTCGACGCATACCAGCACCAAGCCGCGTCCGCCCTCGCAGCCAAGACATGTATCCGTTCGTTCTGGGGTGCAGCCGTCGTCCTGTTCACAAACCAGATGTACGCGCGTCTAGGCTACGAGTGGGCCAGCACGCTTCTCGCGTTCATCAGTCTTGCATGTTGTGGTATCCCGTTCCTGTTCTGGACTTACGGCGCGCGCATCCGGCAAAAGAGCAAGTACGCCTACGCCGGCGAGGAAGACGAGAAGATCGCCAACGCGAGCGAGGGCATCGGCCCCGTTGTGAGGGAAGACGATTCTGAAGATCAGGATTTGAGACGTGCGAGGAGCTACGTTAGCAACCCTTGAACGAAATTCGGATCTACAGAATATGGTATAATCTATATTAGAGGTATATACAATCTCGGTTCGACTTAAGTACCCAACACCTTAGAGGGTACCCAGAAGGTGCATCAAAAGTAGCCATTTGCGTTGCCAACAGTGGCGAGCGGCGCAGGCAACTTAGAAGGGAAACGAGTAGAAGAAAGCAGCTCCGTCCCGGTCTACTATACCGATGTTATAGTACTCCGGGCACAAGAGCTAGGTATAATGGAGCATGAAGGCGTTTTGCCGGCGTTGCGCGAGATATCCTTTTTAATATAGACTGGGGGTACATGACAAGGCAGGGCGCTCTAGTTTAAAGGAGCATTTTGATCTTGGGCTTTGGGGGGTGTTCATATTTGAGATACCACCTGATAGACGCACCGCATTTGATTAGACTAGATGCCGCTTACATGGCATATGGTATTATATAATGAGCTAATAAGATAAAATTTGAAAGCGCTTGATCTGAATGTTTTGTGGTGAACAAGGTGCAATACCTTAAGAGTGAAAGTAAGTAGCGCTATTTTTGTATTTGAGATTAGATAGGTTGTCTTCATATAAGGAGATCAAGAGATTTATATTCTATAGTTTATCCACTTTGCAATTTACATTTGGTTTACTCTATAGGTAAGAGGTATATACCATTTCACACTATCAATTAGAATCCCCAGCGATCAACCCACAGCTTCACCCACTCCGTATTCACCGGCTTGAGCGCTCTCGCCGTCGGACTCGCACGCAGGGTATTGTCAACACGCCAGGTATAATCGTCTTCTCCTCCTTTATTACCCCCACGCCCATTCTTAGCGTCTCCATTTGCATTCCTCTTCACGCCGTCGCCGCCGTGGTGCGGTACAATCGACTTATAGAAATCTAGCAACTTGACTGCAGGGTTATCCTGCGCACTCGTCTTCCGCTCGTAACTACTACGCTCGAGAGCCTCGATCCAGGACTCGAGGGGTATGGCTTTATCTGCGATGCCTTTTTCCTGCAGTGCAGGGATAAGGTTGGAGAAAGGTACGGCGTGGGGATTGACGAGGTTGTATACTTTGGCGCCCCTCTGTTTGCCTTTTTCAGAAGAAGTGCTGTCTTCGACGTCGGTACGGGTTACTTCGTCAACAACCTCGAGAATAATCTTACTGAGCTCGTCTACTGGCACCCACTCAATACGGCTACTTGTACCGAGACTACGCGGCAGTACGCCTAGGAATTTGGAACTGCGCACCAGACTCGGGAACCACTCCCAGGGGTTCCAAGCACCTCCTGCCGCCACTGGGCCCGCGACCTGACCAACGCGCAGGACAGCAGCGCGTCGCTTATTTGCTGTACCTGATAGCGCCCACGAATCTAACAGTCGCTCACCGACGTATTTAGACCGCGCGTAACCCTGTCGTAGAACAAGTTCCGCTGGCTCGGAAAGAACTTCCTCCGGAACATCGCGGGCCGTACCCATCGCCGCTGAGATACTCGACACAAAAAGCACCGCCGGTCGCCGTGCGCCATTCTTCGCGAGTTCAAGTAGGTGTACTAGTCCTGCTATCGACGGCTCGAAGGACTGTAGTGGGAGAAGGAAATTTACAGGCCAGGCGTTGTGGATTATGGCCGTAGTTTCAGCTAGGAGTAAACCATAGTCTTTAGGTGTTAAGCCCAAGCGGGGCGCGCCAAAGTCCTTAACCGAGAAAAATACTACGCGGCCGCTTGACTCCTGAGCTGGTGGAAGTCCACGCGACTTCAGAGCCGTGGCTTGCTTGGATGCTGCGTCTGCGGCCCGGTTCAGACAGAAGATACGGCGCACGCGAGACTCGGGCTGTGCTTGTAGCGCCGCAAGTAGATATGTCCCGAGAGATCCCGTAGATCCTGTTAAGATAATAGCCTGAGCGCGAGGGTGCTGAGAGACAGGGAGGTACTTAGCCAGCATATCCTCAACGCCACCATCTGGAGTTTCCGCTTTGTCCTTGCCACTTCCACCGCCAAGGTATGCGGACAGTGTGTGAGCGAGGGATCGCGCGGTAGTGGAGCTGTATAAAAGACTGATGTGGATGCCATGCAAAATGTCCTCAGATAGCCCATAACTACGTAGTGCAGCCTTCAGCCGCGAAACAGTAAGGGTAACACCATTAGAGTCTAGCCCACGTGCGAAGACGTCGGTATCGGTATCGATATCGTGCGAGTCAAGCGCCTGCTGGAACAGCTGCGTGAGTACGGGCGTAAGACCCTCCGGTGTGAGTGAAGTAATGGGGTCTAAGTCGCTGACCAAGATGCCGCTCTCAACGCGCTCGTATAGAGCATCGATCTCGTCTTCATACGCCTGCAATGTGAGCTGCCGCTGAATAGTGCCCTTTCCAGCACGCAAAAATGGCTTGCCCGGGCGAACGAACAAAACGAGCTCGCGAGGAATCTGTCCAAATTTTGGGGAGGACTTATTAGCCTCTTGGATTGTAGGCCATAGTTTCTCAAGCGCGGCTTGAGCCTCTTCGTTAGTTGTCGGAAGGAGGTGTTCGTGCAACTCAACGATCATGCATAACCGGAAGCGGTGGGAGCCTCCCACGATAACACCGCGGACGTCCGAGTGTGCAGTCACGATGGCCTCGAAGTCTGTCGGGTCCATCTTATACCCATTAGCCATAGCGACCCAGTTATCAGTGCGACCGCGGAAACGCCACCATCCGGGTTGGCCGGGGACTGGGGAGAAGAGGTCTTTCGTACGATATTCGTGCTCGAGATCTGGGTAGGAGCGGAAGTATGCGTAGAGGCGGTCGATGGTCGCAGTACGGGGAAAGACGAGCTCGTACAGTCCAGGGAGGACCTCCTCCATGCGCTGACCGACCTCAACAAAGCGTATCGCGTCCCAGTTCTCCGAATTGGGCGAATAGTTCATCTGCATCAAGGCGCCCTCCGTGCTCCCAATGAGACTATACAGGTGCGGTGTAATCTCAGCGACCCTAGCACCGAGAACAGGGTTAATAGGTCCACCTACGTAACCGATATGCTTGAGGCGCGAAAAAGCTTCGAGGCCGGGTGGGTAGTCTAGCATATTCTCAATAGGCACGGCTGGACAAATTAGACTGTTAGCACCGGATTGGTTGATGACATTTGTGATACTGGCTGGACTAATGGGAACGTCGGGATGCATGAGGATTGCTGTCATTTCGGAATGTAGCGCGACCATAGTGATGTACATGGCGCCGGCCTATCTGAGTTAGAATATAGGTTTATACCCCAAAGAATGTACAAGAAGATGGCTTACATGCGATTGTGACCCGACGACGAGAACATCGTGGTTAGCAAGCGTGCTACATGTCGGTCTCTCTACATGGACACCCTTAGGAAAGACACCCTTCTCTAGGGGAGAGAATAGACATTCGAGGTGGGAGTGCGTCCACCAGATTGGTTTCGGATGACCTATTTTACATGAGAACATGTTAGTATTGTTAACAAGTATAGCTCAGTTAAACGAAAAAATTCACCTATTCTCACATATCAAAGCGGCCATAGAAAGCAATAAGATATAATTATACAAGGTAAATAAGAAGATACTGAGAAATAATAGTAATTGAACTTGAAATAATAGTCTGACCTGAAGTTCCAGAAGTGTGTAAGCCCATAAACCTCTTAGTTTTAATCTCATCATAGGTCTTGTCGAAGGGGTAGTCGGGAACAGGTTCTGGGGATAGGATTTCTTCGAGAGATAGGCCTGGCCTAGCAGTCACATTTGGACTGGCCTTACTAATGAGTTCTGCAAGTGCCCCTGACGACTCAGGTCCGTATAGCATATGCTTGGCTCCGACTGTTTCGAACAAGCGAAGATTGGCAGAGACTCGATTGCTTAGAGACGGAAGCACCACGACTTTTCCAGTCTTCATGGCAGCTATGATCCATATCATATAGCGAGCATCGCTCTGAGACATCCAAATGAAGTACTCGTCCGAAGGGAGGTGTTCGGTGAGGAACCAGGCAGCCCTGTTGACAGCATTGTCGAGGATAGCAAATGTCACTTCAATAGGAGCACGATCCGGATGACAAGTCTTAATAAGAGGACGCTTTTGGTTTATTCTCCTCTTGACGACATTCGGTATCAACTCGTGGAAGCCTGCCATGGTTCGTAGAGTAAACCAAATGCTAGAGAGAAAAGATGAAGGTGAAGGTGAAGGTACAGGTAGGACTGTGGCTGCTTTGCTAAAAGAAGCCGTATCTTCCTGCCTCTAGGATGACGGGACATTGTTACAGATATATCCTACTTGGGCCAACAAAAAACTTTATTCCTTTTAGGTCGAGGCGTGCAGTGAATGCCCTTTGTCTAAGGGACCTGCTTGCTGTTCTTTCACCTTGTTGCAGCTTTGAGGCAAGCGCATAGTTCCTTCGGATACGTACCGGGGATACTAAGGTAGGAGCATACCTAATACACCCCCTTATTTCCTAGTGGGTAGCATCCACATGTATGTATACATGTTTATTTAAGAGACGGAATTATAGGCGAGACATAGCAGTGACGGCTCTATTGAAGGTGCTATTACCTATATACTGAATTACCAGGGTAATTGAATGCCGAACGGTATCAGGGTAGTACTTACTATGACGGGACGGTCCGAATAAACCAATCAGTCCCCAGATAACATGCGGATAACTGAGATAAATCTATATGTTCGATTGAGGTCAATGGGAATAAAGATGGGAATACTCGGGATATAACTCAATCTCGACAACACCATTGCGGCTTTGTGTAACGATCCATGATATCCAAATAGTGGAACTTGCTCAGTCGCATGAAAACTTATCATGAACAATATAAAGATTATCACACTTACGCATATAGTTTAAAATCCACTACACCCGTTGGTATTCCCGGTTCTTGGCATCACGACCATAGGCCATTCTCCCCTAAATGAGTTATGCCGTTCTCTGCTGAGAGAGCGGGTTGACTTGGAAGGACAGATGGATTTAGGTAAATGTTGCCTAATCAAGTGTCAACATTCGAATCAGTTTCATCCTTGAGGCGGAGCGTTGAATATGTGAAGCTCGGGATTAAAATAATCATATCATTTAAGACTTCTGGGCCTGGTCGTGGACCGTGCTGAATGCTGAAAGAGATCACAAAATTAGGCCACGTCTTTGCCTTGTTCCCTTATGGTCATATCCGTCTTAAGAAGCATTGGAGTTGGGCAACTTTTTATAGAACTTTCAGTTAGCAAGCTACAGTGAACCCTCTCTGATATCGAGCGAATAAAACCATTTCTCTCAATTCACCCTAGTTCGGGAATGAACTAGTAGGTGTCTACCCCTTGAGAGATGACGGGATCTTTATTCGGATTTGAATCGGAGGTCTTGAAAGAAAATCGTCACATTTTATACGGTGCAAGAACGGATAATATCATCGAATTCTCGTAAGCATTGTCGTGGTGGTTTAGTTGTCTAGTCGAACCGAAGAGCCATTTACTCATTTCCCATCCACGCAAGCCTATACCAATGCCTCAAGGCAAATGCTCAACCCTGTTCCTAATGAAAAACCAACAACTCCATTTCCGCAGTCGCATTGACGATGCCTGACGAGAGATATCGTGGTAGGAAAGAAAGCCACATTCCGGAGGGCGTTTATCGGTGCTAGGTGGGGAGTTAGTCTCGTTGCCTACATCGTATCGTTTCCGATTCATTCGTACCTTGACAAAGCCAATGTCGGAGGACTTCTCACGGAAGCATTGACGGCAGATGTTAAGGCCGTACTTGCGGATCAAACCGGCCTTGTGGGTGCAGACACGGCTACATTATGTTAGCTAATGAACTTCACCGAAATAGAAGTCCTCAAAAATATCAAGACATACCAGGCACGAGAGCCCTTGCCGTACGTTCGCGGGCGCGAGTTCCAGACGGATTCGTGAGACATATTGTCGGATGTGGTGTTGCGATGACGGTGATCACGAACGGTCGGGTTGCGGTATGTTGCTGGATGTCGAACTACGATTCGGAAAACTTTCGCGAGTTTTTTGGAGGATTATGGATTGAGAGTGGAAAATTGTGTGTGGTTCGCGTAAGGGTTGCAGGGGTTGAATACTAGCAGGATTAGGTACGTACTCACACCCCGACCCTCAAAGAATTCATTGACCCACTATTAGCTAGTTACATAATCTGATATTAAAGCTCTTTTGCCTTTGAAACATCAAATGTTGGGAGGTAGGTAACCATTGCCACACACGTGTCTTATCAGGTACCTAAGTAATCTTATCGATAATCCCCCTCGACTTTTACCAGGTTCTGCAAATAAGCTATGATGCAGCCGGTATTCACCCACACCCCGTTCTGCCCGTTGCAAAGTGGCATCTTCTGCTTTGTATTTCAAAGCATTAATTGATAACTTACCACACTCTCATAATTACGGTAGAATAGCACTACCTAACCAACATTACACATCTTCTCCTCATACTGTTCTCAATACCATATTTTCTCTTACACCTATATAATAGACGATTGTGAAACAAAGCAACAATGGTTTTAGTAAAGAGCTTCGTGCTCGCCGGGCTAGCTGCCGCCGTAGCAGCCAAATCGGCAGTCCTTGATCTCATCCCATCCAACTTTGACAATGTCGTGCTCAAGTCTGGCAAACCTACTCTTGTCGAGTTTTTTGCCCCCTGGTGCGGCCACTGCAAGAACCTTGCTCCCGTCTACGAAGAGTTAGCCCAGGTTTTCGCTACCTCTAAGGATGTTCAGATTGCCAAGGTAGACGCCGATGCCGAAAGGTCCTTAGGCCAGAAGTATGGTGTTCAAGGATTCCCTACTCTCAAGTGGTTCGACGGCAAGAGTAACAAGCCAACCGACTACGAGGGCGGCCGGGATCTCGAAAGTTTGACCAAGTTCATCACCGACAAGACCGGCCTAAAGGCTAAGAAGAAGTTGGAGATGCCTAGCCAGGTGAACATGTTGACGGACACCACATTCAAAGAGATCGTTGGAAGCGATAAGAACGTACTTGTTGCTTTCACTGCTCCTTGGTGCGGTCGTACGTATTACCCAATTATCCAATATGATTTCTAAATATGCTGACTTTAAGCAGATTGCAAGTCCTTAGCTCCTACCTGGGAGACCCTAGCCGAGGACTTCATTAACGAGCCCAATGTTGTAATCGCCAAGGTTGATGCCGAAGCTGACAACAGCAAAGCAACTGCTAGTGAGCAGGGCGTTTCTTCTTACCCGACTATCAAGTTCTTCCCCAAGGGCTCTACCGAAGGCGAACCCTACTCTGGCGGCCGAAGCGAGAAAGACCTCGTTAGCTTCCTTAACGAGAAGACCGGTACTCACCGTGTCCCCGGCGGTGGCCTCGATGCGACCGGAGGTACCATCGACGCCCTGAACCACATCGCATTGAAGTATGCTGCTGGTAGCGACAAGTTGGCCGACCTAGCCGCAGAGGCCAAGAAGGCTGCTGCTAGTTTGGCCGAAGATGCGCAGTACAAGTATGCGCAATACTATATCAGAGTGTTTGACAAGCTGTCGCAGAACGAGGGCTATGTTGCGAAGGAGTCGGCTCGTCTAGATGGTATTATCAAGAAGGGCGGCCTGGCTCCTTCTAAGCTGGATGAGTTCCAGAGTAAGACCAACATCTTGAAGCAATTTATTAAGAAGGTTGAGGAGACGGTCACAGGTGACGATGAGAAGGAAGAGCTATAGTATGACTCGTCATAAACAAACCAAGTCGAGCTGGCGTATCGTAACGTTTATAACGAATAACGAAAGAAAGTGCGTAATCTAAAAGGCGTATTATTGTATAGTCTAGTTGTAGTATCGTCTGTCCTATACAAACCATGATGAACCAAACCGTTCCCCTAACGCCATGCGATGCTCCGAATAACCTCCAATTACCCTTTACCCCTATCATGTCCTGGGTGATGAATTTGCGCCGTTTTCGTCGTTAGCTTGGAGTGAGGCTTCGAGGTGGTCCAATCGGCGCGCCATATCGTCCACTATATCCGCGTCAATGACGAAACTCCAGAAAGCTATACGGCAATCTAAAGCGTCAAGTAGAGGCTATGCTTACTTTTAGCGAAGATTTCGCTCGAGACACCGTCAAATTTGCTTGATAGGGAGTTTAATAGTTCTTCAACGACTGTGGTCAATTCGTCCGAGCTCTGAGTCGCGTTAGTTTGGGGCTCTTGGTGGAGTACCACAAGTAGATATTCTTACGTTGCCTGTCTGCTTCTTGGTATCCTCTGGGGTTTTAGATGACATTTTGAGGAATAGAACTTGTTTATAAGTGTAAAGCTGTTCAGATAGCTGTTTGGCGTTTACTTTTGCACGCAACGGAGTTCTGTTTGTTTAAGTTTAGGTACTTTAGTTAGTAGAAACGTAGAAACCTGTCAATTGCGCGGCGCGTAACCCAACACAGATTATACATAGATGGGTACAGGGTAGTGGGGCTTATCGATTATGTATGTCATTTAACGGCTTTAGAACTAGCCTCTAGGTACTTCGCTGCTTCGTACTGAAGCTCTCCAAATGTTAGGTAATCAAATCAGTCGTCTTAACTGCCCATTAGCTATCATTCTTTCAAAGTATTCATCTCATACTCGCTAGACTTTATAAAACAAGAACTTAACTAGTCTACTCTATTTTAAAGATTCTCTACTAGAGAAATTAGATATTATACGAATGCTTTAAGCACGATGGAAACAATACATTGCGATGCCTCAGCCGCAAGATAACGCACGCGCCGTCTTCCTCATCATCTTGATATTCTGGCTTGCTACTAGTCCAGACTCGAGTCCGGGGCTCATCGCGGGTCCATCTATCATAAAAAACCGCATCTCACGTCAGAGACATGCTCTCGGAGTACTGAATAGTACACAATGGGGTGACTTCTCACCGCGGCTTCCCGACGATCCGCCCGAGACCGAAACCAAGTACTTGAACCTAACGGGATTTCGAGAGGAGGATGGCTATGTGTGGGAGGATCTCCAGCGTTTCAAGAATCGGTGCGAGGAGTGGAGTACAAATGCCGTGGGAATTCCGGAGGTAGCACAGCCAGTATGGCAAAATGCGACGGGAGTGGTACACGGCTGGTGGCAGAGGGTGAATACATCTTCGCCGAGATATCATTCAAGCTATAACCTCAGTCAGATCAGCCCAGATGTTACATGGGCGGCATCAAACTCTGACTGGAGCAGAAATGCAACTGGTACAGAGGGGAAAATAATGATGCGTATCGAGGACAACGAAGATGATGCGACGGAACCTGCGGAAATAGACAAGACATCACTTAAGAAAACAGAGGTTAAGGCCCGGGAAGTCTCGGCAACGGCTAATATCGATGATGTTGAAGGTACCGGGAGTAGCTGGGAGATGCGACTTCATGGTGTTCACTGGCCACATCAGGGCGCTATACTTCTTACTACGACGAGCGAAAAGTTCGCCGGTATTTTCGGATTGCCTCATCTTACCACCCGGTCCGATTTCTTTGAATCTAGCCAAGCGCTCCTAAACAGAACCCTAGATGCAGCCCTCAGGAGAAAGGAGCAGCATACCTTTACTGAGCAAATAGATCCCTGGACGTCCAATTTAGAGCCCGGTGAAACTTGGAATCCATCTCCGCACTGCGAATACCTAATTTATATTCAAATCCATCCTCTAGATCAGAACATATTACGAGTACAACCAAGTCTCACAGGCCCTGAAAATGTAGCTAAGGCCATTCAAGATATCGAAAATGAGCTTCGTTTCCCTCAGGGCACGGGGCACCGGCGAATACCGCGGCTTCAGATGTCGGCTGTTGTATATTCTCCTGATTGTGCCTTTTTCCTCGAAACAAAAGGCCCTCCAGCATATGCGCCGGCCGATGGAAACCACATGGTCGGCGTAAAGCAAGAAATCTTTCTCCACAGCGTCAGCACATTTCTTCTAAGTCTTGCGTTGATTGTATTCGGCCAACTACAACTGCTCAAGATGCAAATGAGGGAGACCTCTACGCCTTCAACGTTAGGTCGTGTTAGCTTCTACACTGGCTGCATGATGTTACTCGCCGATGGTATGCTCTTCACCGGGGCAGCTGCGTGGAGTTTCTCAGCATCGACTACGCTATTACCCTCACTTGCCATTACATGTGTCTCATTTCTATCTATGACTGTTGGGACATTTTTCCTAGCTGAGATTCACAAGGTCCAAGAGCCTGAATGGCGACGACAAGAACGGGAGAGGGATCGACAGAATACGCTCATAAATGCGGCAAATGTAGTAAACCCGCCAAATCCATCTAGCAACGCTCGTGAGACTACTACCACCACCACCACTACTACTACTACTACAAACACCGCCTCTCATCCACCATCTCCGCCAATTATCATCCCTTCGGATCAAGATATTGACGCTGAAATTGCCGAAGTCACAACCAATAACACCAACAATGCCACCCTTCCAGCTCCAGTAACTGCAGGGCCTGCCGCGCCAACTGCCCAGAATCTTCGGACACAATTGAGCAATGTATTTGGCCGCCTCTTACTCATTGGGATTACTATCCTCTTCCTAAGTCTTGCCGCGGCAAGTTGGCGGCCTAGCATCCGTGCCGGGTATTTCAATATCGTGCTTTTCATCTACCTCTCCCTATGGATCCCACAGATCTATCGCAATGTGTACCGCAACTGCCGTAGAGCGCTATCGTGGCGCTTCGTTATCGGCCAGTCTATTCTACGCCTCTTACCCATCGCGTATTTCTACATCGTACCAAATAATTTCGCTTTCGCGGAGCCCGACTGGACTGCTTTCATCACGCTCGCCGGCTGGCTTTGGATCCAGATATGGATATTAGCCGCGCAGTCTGTCCTCGGACCTCGCTTCGGTGTACCCAAAGGCTGGATGCCGGAGGCTTGGGAGTACCACCCTGTGCTCCGTGAGGATAATATTGAAGCGGGCGGGCTGCCAATCGGTCTAGTGGCTGCGCCCAATAGCCCGTTAGAACGGGTAAGGACAGGCGAGGAAGGAACAAGCAAAGATAAGAAACGCCCAAATATACATGTCATCGACTGCGCTATCTGTAGAGAAGTGCTAGAAGTACCGGTTGTAAGAGCAGGAGACGACGATCCAACGGCAGGAGGTGTGGCAGGTGTGTTTGCTCGTCGCGCGTATATGGTAACACCATGCCGACATGTCTTCCACAGCGCTTGCCTTGAGGGTTGGATGCGGTTTAGGCTACAGTGCCCGATATGTAGGGAGGAACTACCGCCTTTATAAGATGTAGATGTACCTAGGTAGTTAATGTATATTTTAAGTTTATAGAAACCACATATACAGGCGTCCCTACCTAGATGTAAGAAGTGCCCCCGTCGGAATTAGTGAATTCCTGGGTCGGGAAGTCGTTCTCTAGACACAACTTAAACTTTGTGTTCATATCGTGGTTTAGTGTCGCACCTATCCCCTCTTTCAATGAGCCCCTGATCAACTAAGGGGGGTTAGGTACATAATATTTTAACCATACCAACCACTTCTTTCCTTGGTTACCCATCAACCGCATAACAGAAAAGTAAGTGCTAGACACTAAACAACTTGCATCATTCAACAGCTACTGGCAGAAGGCAGGCGCAGGCGCAGGCAACTAGGTTACAACCCAAACAGAGAAGGTTGCATAATTAAAACTCGAGACTCTCAGATTAAATTCTTTCAACTTTCAACAATTAATAATAACAACTTCAATAACAATATTAACACTATCATATTCAATTCGCAATACCTACCTAACTAGAAGACAAAATGGTTCTATACCAAGCTATCTTGAAGTCATTTGCGTACCTCAACTCAAAAATACAACCTTCCAACCCATCTATACCTATGGAACAGCTGCGCGTCCCGTACGTCGTTGCCTATCTCCACAATTACTCACTTTCCACTCTACTATTATTTCCATCACGCTCTTCTTTTAGAGTTATTGCTCTTTTGCCTCAGGCGGCGTGAAGAAAGTCGTAAGTAACTCTCCCCGGTATAGGATTTAACCAAGATACATGATTACTAATCAACAAGAGAAGAAGAGAAAGAAGCCAATTGAAACTATATCACCAACATACAATATCTGCTTTTGCAGAAATGTCTTGAGAATACAACTTCATTCAGATCTCAGACATGGCCTTACACGCTGGTAGCTCCACCCCCTTTCTTCTACTCATTTAGATCATCAATGACTATGCCCACTCGGCGAAGCCATTCTCTACAACATATTACTATATTACCCCTCCGGCAGATACGGTATCTATCCGTCCCACCAATGGATAAATCTTTAACAGTTTCAAGAGAAGATATTAGATTATGCAGACCCAGTTGCATTTGGAAGACAACTACATACCCAGGCGAAGTAACTTTGGAAACCCACGAAAGACGTGTCATTGAGAATCAAGACAATACATACCTCGTAGAGTATGTTGGACTAGACAATGGATATGTCAAATGGCTATCAGAAAGAGAGTTAGGCGATGACAAGGATGAACTTCCACTGTGGTCAAACCAAAATGGACCGACTCAGGTTTTTCCTTGGGCACTGCTGAGCGCTGGGGGTGATTCTATCTCCGTTATAAGAAAGCGTGTTCGGCGCGTTTTCCCCTGGTCAAAGTTGGCTACCTGGCGCCGGCGCTAACCAGGTAGAGTAATGCTGTAGGCAGGTAGGGGTTGAGGATGCTATAGGCAGGAAGTAGAGGATCTCTCATGTCAAGCGAAACTCTAGCTCTGTCTTTCTTTAAGGAGGTGGTATTCTAGACGTCTAAAAGCGCTATAGATGCGCAGCTGTAGCTACCTAGCTCATAGCAGCCAATAGACGTTAACGTTTTCATCATCACCATCATCAATGATGAACTTCTAGCAATGAGAGCATTGTTACATAAACTACCTAATGCGATGATTTCGGGACGATTATGCTGAATGTAATGGATTGAGAACGAAGCATTACGGCGGAAAGACGATGAAGAATATTGGTCATTACAGGGTAGATAGGGCTATCCAAGCTACCTCATTATACACTCACTAGATAGATAGTTAGTACTTACTTGCTCTAAGCATACAATATACTACAACCATACCCATACAATACCCTCACTTATACAATGACCTTGATACAGCGCATCGTGTCGTTGCCTCCTTCCCAGTAAGCCTCACAGAGGTTTACCATAGCCGCTAAAACAGTTGTTTAATACCTCCTACGGACTGTAATATATTGAGCGTATTTAACAGACGGTTAGTCGACGAGTGGAAGAATAGCTGCTAGGATGTATTTATCATAGCTATCATCAGCGCTACTACGGGGTCAGGGAAATACATCCTTATCTAAGACTGTAATCCTATAAAAGAAACCTCAACCAAAACTCACTGGATGAAAATACTATAGGGGAAATGGCGCTCGTTAGTAGAGTATCTACGAAACCAAAGGCAAGAGGATACGCTTCCTTGATGATATGTGAGGTAGCTAAGCTTGACGAACTAGATGTCAAGAACAACAAGGACGTAGTTCCTACTCTTCACTTTGAGTCTAATAAACTTATTCTAATCGTGATAAATGTTGAATATGCATATTCTAGGACGGGTTGATTCGGATACATTCTTCGGAACCTATATACTAAGATAGAAATGAGACGGACAGCCTAAGATTTAGTGAGAGAAAGTCTTTTATTTTATAGCAAACTATTAACAATTCTAATTACAGAAACGATAAACATATGTTGTAGCAAGTAAACATTCTAATAATCAAACATAACTAGTCCTATCAATACTGATTCCGTTCATCAACTAACGCAATTAAACATAGCAGCATACGTAGACCCTATGGCGAAATTTTAGTCTTACTGTAGGTAGTAAAAGCTAGATACTAGCATTATCTACAATGGTACCAGAAGCTATCACTTAAGACGTAATTGGTTATACGCAATTGCGACGTCGTTTCGGCGACAGAGGCCGTATATCAGCACGGCGACCATGATCACTAGAAGCAGCCATGTCATGTATATCGCCAGAGATGCTAGTACTGGCAGGACTAGCAATGTTAACAGGGCTAACATTACGCTATCGGGAAATTTGATGTCGTCCATTTTGGTGAGTGTTAAGAACAGATACCTAGGTCAGATTGAAGATTTTAAGCTTGATAAGGCTGGTGGATGGTGATGGTGGTTGAGGTCTCATATGAGCGGTAAGGATAGCGGGATTTATAGGTGATTGTAATTATGCTTGGTAGAACAAGGTGTTGTTGTTATAGTTCGTCGTTGGAAGAGTATGTTGATTGGCTGATAAGGAGGGTGTTGTGTTGGGCTTGGTGTTGGTAACTCTGCTTTTATAGTAACAAAGACCGAGTTGCGATGAACGGTGCTTTATGACTTTTTACTTGTAGGTTTGGGTAGGCTGACCAACTACGCTAATAGATGTTCATGGTATATTGTGAGTCGGTAGAGGTATTGACGTTAGCCTTTTTCCAGAAAGGGGGCGGTCGTAGGACACTTAAATTTGGATTGAAGATAGGGGCTTTAGAATTGTCGCCTCTGCGAGCGTATAGAACCCAGCTTTGGTAACTTAACCTTTATGAATCCAGATCAAAATAAGCTCCTATATACTCTCTTAAGAGCGCCACGATAATATGTCTAATGCATATGCTTGAACTAAGAAGATTTGTTCTGGAGATGCGAGAATTTGGAAGAAGAAAGGGAGAAAGGGGAGGACTTCGCTATAGGCTTTAGTATTAGGAAAGATTGCAATATGTAAAGATGTCCGGTGTATCATGAGGTCGAGCTAGAAGACATAGAAACAACTTGAATATTCGGCAAGAAACTCTAACTAAGTCATGGGAGCCCACGGTTATCACTGGGTACCGAAAGTGTCCTCCTTTTTCCCCAGATGTCTCATCAGAATACTGACATGGTGCGAGAAGAGAGGAAGGCGGGCATATTGGGTATTCTCCGAGGATGAATTCCAGTACACCACTGAGTCCCGATGAAGGAGAAGCTGTGTTAATTCCCTGTCTGGTCATACTGAAGCATCATCACGAAAGGGTCTCTTCCTATCTGTACATTACGTTGTCTATTAGCTTAACTCAACTCTAGACTTATGCAGCTTGATTGATCTAGTAACTCACAAGTAATAATATTTTTTACTAAAGATTATATGGTCAGCTCTCTTAGTCTACTTACTACCCCTCGTCCCATCCTCGAGTCCCTTAGGATATCATCAACTCATCCACCAGAACCCTACTCAACCTAACTTTCTTCGGAACGCACGAACTAAGGGGAAGTCTAGAGTACCTAGATTTGCGCGCTACAATACAAGGAGTCTAGTTCTCAGACTCGGTAATAGTTAACAGTGGCTACGCCTACCATGTCTCAGGCTTAATTAACCCCCCACAAGCCTCAGGATAAAACAAGCCTCCGCATCGACAATACTATAGCTGAATCATCTCCAACTACCCAGGAAGCGATGTTTCTCGTATTCAAGAGCCAACTACCTAGCAATAGTCTTCTTCGCGACAAAGAGCGAAGGTAGTACTACCTCATCTACCCGAAGTACCTACCTACCTAACCTAAATCTCCTAGAACCAAAGATCGCGATATGCTGGATTAAATAGGTTAGGTACCTAGGTACCCAGGCTAAAAAAAAAAAAAAAAAAAAAAGACAAGGAAAATGTTTATCTGTTTTCCATTCACAATCCGAATATGTCAAAAAGATGGACGAGCAGGGAGTCGAACCCTGGGCTTCTCGCATGCAAAGCGAGCACTCTACCACTGAGTTACACGCCCCGTAGTGGTATGCCGGTCGTTGCCGACCTGACTGTTAGATTCGCCGAACTTGGCTTATCTATAGGGAGATGGTGCTCCGTATCTATCCTCCTATTGGCGGATGTTGAAGTTTAACTGCAAATTGGGGCTTATATATTAACTATTGTCTAGCCTATGATAATGTGGTAGGTATGGGGTCGCTTGTTAGCGGCTTCAATTGCTAGTCAATGGCTAGTCGATTGTTAGTATAAGCTCCAGTACGATAATAAGTGTCCCTTACTACGAAGCTACCTAATCATAGACGATGTTTCGAATCGCTAAACTACCTGCTCCTCGTGGGAGCTATTTTTACTTAATATTAGCTTCTTACCGTCCCGTCCCTCGCGATCCAACATTAGGTATTCTACGGTAGACTGCCTAAATAGGCTTCATCTTTGAATGAACAATCTAGGCAACGAGATCTACATAGTGCCTATTTCGGAAGATAAAAGCTTGTGA